CTCCTCTTGCCAGAGATTATGATACCCAAGCCGATAATAAGCGGGCCATTGAGGCCTTTGAGACTCTTGAGCTCCCCCAGGAGACTCAATTGGCTCTGAGGAAGCTCTCTGGTTCTTCACCATCGGATTTCACTGTTTTCTTGACCGCGTTTGTGCTTCTGGTCGCTCGTTTGACCGGTGACGAGGAGTGCGTCAATACTTTCTAAGAGCTCTGCGTGGGAATGAGTGGCTGATCATGACTATAGTATTGCAATCGCCACAAACTTGGCCGAAGACTCCCGCCCCTTCGTGCTTCGCGTTTTTTATGACCCTTCCGAAACTTTCAGCCAGCTCTATGCCAAGGTTGACAAGGTGCGCTATCTATATACGTCTCCAATCCTACCCATGGCCACTCGCTTCATAGCTCTCTGACTCGATCTTGACATTTTAGATCTTCAATGAGTGTGCCTCCGATATTGTACCATTGGGTAGCCTTCGCTCGTACATTCAAGACAAGTCCAAGTCCGATCGCACTCCCATCCTTTTCCGATTCGCTGCCTATGATGCCCCTGCCGCCTCGCAAGAATACCCGGCAAACACATTCGATAGCACTGATCTTGTCATCAATGTGTCATCTGAGCTTGGTGCATACTACAACCAGCGTCTCTTCTCTAGTGCACGCATCGCCACCATCCTCAAGCAATTGGTTCGCATTGCTAGCAATGCTGCCGCGAACCCCGAGGAGGCTGTGGGCCGTATCGACATGATCACCGAGGACCAGCTTGCGATTCTTCCCGACCCAACTGCCGATCTCAACTGGTCGAAGTTCCGTGGTGCCATCCACGATATTTTCGCCGAGAATGCGCAGAAGCACCCTGAGAAGCTCTGTGTCGTGGAGACCAAGTCGAGTAGCTCCCCACACCGTGAGTTCACATATAGGCAGATTAACGAGGCATCAAACATCCTTGGACACCACTTGGTTCAGTCCGGCGTCCAGAGGGGAGAGGTTGTTATGGTTTACGCATACCGTGGCGTGGATTTGGTGGTTGCCGTGATGGGTATCCTGAAGGCCGGCGCTACATTCTCCGTGATCGACCCCGCCTACCCACCCGAACGCCAAAATATCTACCTTGACGTTGCCCGTCCCCGTGCTCTGATCAACATCGCCAAGGCTACTACTGATGCTGGTGAACTCTCGGACATTGTCCGTTCATTTATCAACGAGAACCTGGAGCTCCGCACTGAGATTCCGGCTCTCGCCCTCCACGACGATGGCACTCTGACCGGTGGTTCCATTGATGGTCAGGATGTCTTCACCAAGCAGGTTGACTTGCGCTCCCAGTCTGTTGATGTCGTCGTTGGACCCGATTCGATCCCCACCCTGTCCTTCACCTCTGGCTCGGAAGGCCGACCCAAGGGTGTCCGTGGCCGCCATTTCAGTTTGGCGTATTACTTCCCGTGGATGTCAGAGACTTTCAAGCTTTCTGAGAACGACAAGTTTTGTAAGTACCTTCCTTCAACTAGACGCATCCGACTCTAACGTATATTGCCTTCGCAGCTATGCTGTCTGGAATTGCACACGATCCGATCCAGCGTGATATCTTTACTCCTTTGTTCTTGGGCGCCCAGCTGTTGGTTCCTGCTAAGGAGGATATCCAGAACGAGAAGCTAGCTGAGTGGATGCGCAACTACGGTGCTACTGTCACCCATCTTACTCCTGCCATGGGTCAGATTCTTGTGGGTGGGGCCTCTGCACAATTCCCGGCTCTGCACCACGCTTTCTTCGTCGGAGATATTTTGATCAAGCGTGATTGCCGCTCGCTTCAGGGTCTTGCTCCCAATGTCTCCATTGTCAACATGTACGGCACAACCGAGGTAAGGATCTGATCTCCCTGGAAATTTGATAGATCTTCGAGGCTAATCGGCAATAGACTCAACGTGCCGTGAGTTACTACGAAATTCCGAGCTACTCTAGCCAGGAAGGCTTCTTGGACACCATGAAGGACATCATCCCTGCTGGTCGTGGTATGCTGGATGTCCAGATGCTGGTTGTGAACCCCTTCGATCCTACCCGCATATGCGCTATCGGAGAGGTTGGTGAGGTCTATGTTCGCGCCGCCGGTTTGGCTGAGGGCTATCTTGGCTCCCCCGATCTGAACGCCAAGAAGTTCTTGACCAACTGGTTCGTGAAGCCCGAGGTTTGGACTGCAAAGGACAAGGGCGGTAATGAGCCTTGGCGGGAGTTCTACGTCGGACCCAGAGATCGCCTGTACCGTAGCGGTGATCTTGGCCGTTACACCCCCTCCGGAGATGTCGAGGTTTCTGGCCGGATTGACTCTCAAGTCAAGATCCGTGGCTTCCGCATTGAATGTACGTCAAAACACCCTTGCTGATGTGTGATCATAGCGAGTTCAGGTCAAGCTAACTGTTCGCTAGTGGGTGAGATTGACACTCACTTGTCCCGCCACCCCCTGGTTCGTGAGAACGTGACCCTTGTCCGTCGTGACAAGTTCGAGGAGCCCACTCTTGTCAGCTACTTCGTCCCTGATATGAGCAAGTGGTCGGAGTGGCTTGAGTCCAAGGGCCTCATGGACGATGATTCGGGCGAGGGAATGGTCGGCATGCTGCGTCGATTCCTTCCTCTGCGCAACGACGCCCGTGACCACCTTCGCAGCAAGCTCCCTGCTTATGCGGTTCCAACGGTGATCATTCCGCTGAAGCGTATGCCTCTCAACCCCAATGGAAAGATCGACAAGCCTGCTCTGCCTTTCCCCGATACCGCGGAACTCAGCGCTGCTGCTCCTCGTCGTCGCTCCTCTGCAATTCAGGCGCTGTCTGAGACTGAGCAAGCTCTCGCTCAGATCTGGGCGAAGCTGATCCCTAACGTTACTGCTCGTATGATCGGACCCGATGATTCATTCTTCGATCTCGGTGGTCACAGTATCCTTGCCCAGCAGATGTTCTTCGAACTGCGGCGCAAGTGGCGTACGGTTGATATCAGCATGAGTGCTATCTTCCGCAGTCCGACACTCAAGGGCTTCGCCGGCGAGATTGACCGTTTGCTTGACGTGGAGGCCTTTGCGACGAGCGACAAGGCTGATCAGGGTACCAACGAGCCCGACGACGGCTATTCAAAGGATGCGCGCCAGCTGGTCAATGAGCTTCCTGAGAAGTTCCCAACCCGAACGGAAGACTTGCTTGCTACTCAGCCGACCGTCTTCCTTACTGGTGCCACTGGCTTCTTAGGTGCTCATATCCTTCGTGACCTCCTTACTCGCAAGTCTCCTTCTGCTAAGGTCGTCGCCCTTATCAGAGCCAAGAGCGAGGAGCAGGCTCTCGAGCGTCTTCGCTCGACATGCCGCGCCTATGGCTTCTGGGATGATGAGTGGGTTAACCGCCTGGAGACCCCTTGCGGTGATCTTGGCAAGCCTCGGTTTGGCCTGTCTCAGTCTACCTGGGATGACCTTACGACCCGGGTTGATGTTGTCATCCACAACGGCGCCCTCGTTCACTGGGTCTACCCATACTCTACCCTCAGGGGCCCTAACGTTCTGGGTACTATCGATGCCTTGAAGCTGTGCGCTGCCGGAAAGGCCAAGCACTTCGCCTTCGTCAGCTCTACTAGTGCCCTGGACAGCGACTACTATGTGCAGGAATCTGATCGTAGCCTTGCTGCCGGTGGTAACGGTGTGAGTGAGGAGGACGATATGGAAGGCAGTGCCGTTGGCCTTGGTACAGGTTATGGTCAGAGTAAATGGGCTGGTGAGCATCTAGTTCGTGCAGCACGGGCTCGTGGTCTGAAGGCCGGTATCATCCGCTCTGGATATATCTTGGTAAGCTTTAAATGCCGACCTAGCCGTTGATAGCAGGATACTCTGATACTTACTGTTTCAAATAGGGTGACTCCACATCTGGTGTCTGTGTGACTGACGACTTCCTGACTCGCTTCTGGAAGGGTTGCATTCAGCTGGGCTCGCGCCCCAATATCGGCAACTCCATCAATGCCTGCCCATCAGACTACGTCGTGCGAGTTGTTATTTCGGCTGCTTTCCACCCTCCTAACAACTCCACCGGTGTTGTCCACAGTACTGGACGGCCGCATATCCGCTTCAATGAGTTCCTTGGAGCTTTGGAGACTTACGGATACCCTGTCAAGCAGATTGATTATATCCCGTGGGCGTCATCCCTCGAGCAGTACGTCAATGACGGCAAGCATGACGACAAAGAGTCTCAGCACGCTCTGTAAGTAGTCTATCCATCCTCCCTATGTTCTGGGCGATTGACTAAACGATCATCTAGGATGCCCCTTTACCATTTCGTGGTCTCCGATCTGCCTTCCAACAGCAAGGCACCCGAATTGGACAACACGTACGCCTCTGCCTGTTTGAAGGCCGACGCGGCCTGGTCTGGTGTAGACGCCTCTGCCGGTGCCGGTATTACCGTCGAGCTGATCGGGTTGTATGCTTCCTATCTGGTGGCAATTGGGTTCCTGCCTGCGCCCAGCGTCGCCGGTGCCCGACCCCTGCCCCCGGTGCCCATCACGGAGGAGCAAAAGAAGATGATCCTGAACGTGGGTGGCCGTGGTGGTGCCCCTTAAAAGCCAGTGGTGTGATTTAGATATTACCCTGTTCTCTGCTAGCCAGTGGTGGCGCGATTTGGGTGATGTAGAAAAGTCCTAGCATGTTCTTTGCGAGCCAATAAATTTCCTTTTTTCACCAGCCCTCCTCGTATACTCGTGTGGTCAGTCAGCTGGCTGCCAAGTGGCGTGCCGTTTGCTCTGAAATCGTATACATCGTCCCGGTCAACCAAAATCGCAGCCGCCGATCCCGCCAATCCGCCATTTCTCCAGTTGCCCTCGGAAAGAATCGCCCCTCCAAAATGCCAAACCCGCTTTGGGCTCAGACTTCCCCCTTCTTATTCCTCACCCTGCTACACACGCCTTCATTGATAAACCTAGTCTCCTGCTCTTCTCGCCCGTTTACTCTCTTCATCCCAACTTCTCATCGAGATCATTCATCGCCATGTCTGAAGGTACGTGCACGGCCGGTCAACCTTTCTGATCAATTTCTTGGCGGGAACTACCTTCCCCAATTCTTTCCCCAACATCTCTCGGTTGCCTCCGTTGTCGTCGGATACTCGCGGCGCTCTCTCTGCAGTCAAGCCCAGGGCAAGTTGGCGGCTGGGATTGTGACTCTTTTCATACTCTTCTCTGTACTTCTGCTGGGTGTCCGGTGTTTCATTTCCTTCCTTTTCATTGGTCTTCCTCCCGAACACCTGTTCCTTCACCCCACCGTTCGTCATGAGCGCTGCAGGACTCGCGATGCGATCTCGCTTTCTTGCTCGCGCCAGCGAGGCCGCCAGCCAGAGAGCGGGTCGCCAGCCCTTGACATTCTCTTCCTCTCCTTCTTTGATCACTGCCATGCCTCGTGTCTCTCCTTTCTCGACCTCCGCCCCTTCCTACTGCGCCAATTCCAAGCCCTCCGCACCGACCACACAAACTAATTCCACCAACTCGGACTCCACAGACAAGTACGTCGCTGGTTTGCGCAAGAACAAGGACTGGGCTGCCCAGACCGCGCGCGAGCACCCCGACCTCTTCCCTACCCTTGCCAATGGCCAGCAGCCCCAGATTCTGTGGCTCGGCTGCTCTGACTCACGATGTGCCGAGACCTCCATGCTCGGTCTGCTTCCCGGTGACGTCTTCGTCCACCGCAACATCGCCAACATCCTGCACCCCGGTGACCTGAGCTCGGGCGCCGTCATCGAATACGCTGTCAAGCACCTGCGTGTCAAGCACGTCGTTGTTTGCGGTCACACATCCTGCGGTGGTGTCGCTGCCGCCATGGGCAGCAAGCAGCTCGGCATCCTGGACCCTTGGTTGCTCCCTCTTCGCCAGGTGCGCGAGCGCAACCTCGCCACTCTGCAGAAGCTGCCGGCCGACGAGGCGGCCGAGAAGCTGGTCGAGCTCAACGTGCGCGAGAGCTTGAACGTCGTGACTCAGAAGAGTGTCGTGCTTGAGGCCATTCAAGAACGTGGTCTCCAGGTCCATGGTCTGATCTACGAAGTTGGCTCTGGTGTCCTTCGGGAGTTGGACACCTCCGACTCGGATGAGACGATCAAGGCCCGATTGGTGGCCTTCAAGACCGAAGCTTGAATGTTTTGAGTGAATGCTATTCAAACAGATTGAAGATCCTGAAGGGGAGGGAGGGCGGCGAACGGCGCGCATGTTCCTAGCATAAAGCGGGGGTTAGTGGAGTATACAGATCTTCTTGCGGTAATATACAAATGGAAAGTGATGAATGATGACCAGATCAATACGTTTTTGTCAACCTTGTAAGGTTTAATCAAATACGAGCCTCTTGCATTGTGTAATGTCAAGCATTGAGCCTGGATTATCTTCTTTGTCTGGGTCCAAGGAACCTCCACTCGAGCGTTTGACTGTAACGCCTATCCGCATGAACCTTCCAGGGTTGCATGTAGTACAAGGTGGAGCAAATTTGAGGCTCTGTTTGTCTAGGAACCATGTTCCGAGCCATACTGTCATAAGGTTCTGAAAGTCGCCCTCGCAAGAGAGAAGACGCGGACACTGACTCTAGTCTTGAAGTTTCTATATGACACAGATCCAATAACCTCCTAGTTTCTAATAGAATCCACGAAGATGCCAGACATGGAAATTGGACTGGTTTAGCCAGATCAGAGCAAGCTAGCCCCTCCAGCAAGAACAAATAAAGCATATTCCCTGAACCCAGCTCCGGAAAGGCTAGTACTAGATGCTAAGTAGTGGAAGCCTAATCTTAAGGGGAACTGGACGGTTCGTCCTCATATAATCCTATGAATTAAAAGGGTATGCATTAGGCCCCCATGCTTGGAGCTTTGAGGCTGACAGGCGGGGAAGCTGCATATACTTCGCAATGATTCATTGAGTAGGCATCATATCGCAGCTACTTCTACAACCAGCTGGTGCTAATGTGGATTTAGAATTGAACTGATACTGGCAAAATCTATAAATTGGAGCGACTTCTCCTCTTCCTCTGTCCCTGTCACTCCATAGGCTGACCTTCCCAGCCTGAGAGATCGCCGAGAGAAACTGCAACCGAAGCACCTTCCATACCTCTCACTTGTCCACAAACCACATTCTTCCTTGCTTGCAAACTTCTTCCTGACCAACACCTTCTCCCCTTATCACATTACACCACACAATCCTTTCGTTCTAGGTCCCACACAGATTCTTCCTTTACCATGGCTGAAGACACCAACGCAACCAAGATGGAAGAAACCATCAGCAATCCCACCACGCCTGCATCAGGTAGGTGAATGATTCTGGGCGTATCTCAAAAATATGAGCCACATCGACTGACGTACATCGCAGAGAGCTCCGAGGAACCAGAAGACGTGTACGCCCCCCGTGGATCTATCTGCGACGTCCGAAACCTTTATCAAACTCAGCCAGATGAGAATGGAGAGACCTCGTGGACCAAGAACCTGCCTGAGACTTTGGTCGAGCCCGTCGAAAACAGCGAATCTGCACAATACGCAATGATTGTTCGGAACATCAAATGCTATGATGGACGAAAGAGCTTCTCCGTTGACTCAGTCGTTGTGCAAAGCGAGCCTCTGAAGACGTTCTTAGGGAAAATCCTCGATGGGTATCCCGGAGTCACCACTTCCCTTGAGCGCCTGGAGCTCACTCACCCATTCAAGCCGCTCATTCATCGGTGGCACAACCTTGTCAAGGCTCGAGAAGTTGAAGAGCTGGATCCTACTACCAAAGAGCATCTTGAGCTTTTCCACAATGCCTTTGAGGAGGAACTTAGAGACACACTTGCGCGCAAAGAGGACCTGGTTCGCAACGGCGTCATCACGGACTCACTTATCTGGACTCTCTTTGAGCCTGGCGACGTGATCATCACCAACAGCGGTACCCCTCGTGGATACCGTTTCTCTGACGCTACGAAGAGCTCGTCCGGCGAATGGGTACTCGCTTGCAGATACATCGACTTTGATGGCGAGAAGTTCGGTTACAAGGATGAAGAATTTATCGTGGATGCCTTCATCGGAACTAAGCCCATCGCATCGTTATCGGTCTTTCCATTAAAATATCATCCTGACCGGGACGCTGCGTGCAAGACCCTCATTGCCCGGGGGAAGCGCTGGGAGGAACACAAAGGATACCATTACCGGCAATATGAAGGACTGGCAATTGGAACCTCGGATTTCGGCCCACCCGGACAGCTCCACGTCAAAAGCCGCATCATTATCGACGCCGAAGCATTCGGTGTCTTCCATTCACAAAAGGCATTCGGTGCCTTCCATTCACACGGCGCTATCCGACTGAAAGGGTCCAAAAAACTACGAAAGGAGTTGACCGACGACCAGCGCATAATCACTTCCGACATGGTCTACGGCTACTCCCTGAATGATAAGGAGTGGATGGAGTTTTCGATCCAAAACGTATCGGAGATCAAGTGGGACTCTTTCGCCTTTGAGTCTCTCGTCCTTCCTCGGGAGCAGCAAGGCCTAAAGGACCTGCTTCTAGCCATTGCCAAAGCTCAGTCTAAGCAGCTAGACGGTTTCGACGACGTTGTTCGTGGAAAGGGTCGTGGTATTATCCTACAACTCAGCAAGCCCCCGGGTGTGGGTAAAACATTGACAGCAGAGAGTGTGGCTGAGGTGATGAAGGTTCCGTTGTACGTCATGAGCGCAGGCGACCTAGGCACCCGCGCCGATGCAGTTGAGCACAGCTTGAAGAATATCCTCCGCATGATACCCAAATGGGGTGCTGTCCTCCTCCTTGACGAAGCCGAAGTGTTCATGGAAGCCCGTTCCCCGACCGACCTGGAACGCAACGAACTGGTATCTATTTTCCTGCGAATGCTAGAATACTACGAGGGCATCCTGTTTCTCACGACTAATTGCGCCAAGAATATTGACCCAGCATTCGAATCTCGTATTCATTTGTCGCTGAATTACAACGAACTTGACGCTACCTCACGGCGGCACATTTGGAGCCAGCTCTTGAGCCGTTCTCCGAATACGGCTGTCTTCTCGGATGAACAGCTGGACCAGTTGGCTGTCTCGCACCTGGACGGTCGACAGATCAAGAATACGATCAAGACTGCTAGCCTTCTGGCTTGGTCTCAGCAGGGGGAGCTGGGATTTGAGCACGTTCAGGTTATGCTCAATCTACGAAAGAGCAATACGTTGAAGATGAACTAAACGAGCCGGAGTGGGCTCCGTTTGATTTTTTTTTGATTCCAGCGATATCACTATGCCGTTGAATATCATTACGCAGTATTAGTGGTAGCCTAGTGCAACCCCATAATACCATGTTGCTAGTCCTTTGTTACACTGAATGATCATTCTATCTCGAGGAGCCTCTTGGTCGAACTCGTTTGACGCCCACGAGGTGCATGCTGGGCTAGACAGTAGTTTCAGAGGCTATTGGGAGTAAAGTTGTAGAGAAAGCGAGGAATTCGCCTACAGATAGTGCTTGAGCTATGAGGCACAAAATATTTCCAGACTGCGACTGAGCCCTTGGGGCGTCCACCTTCGTCCGTTGTATTAGAGTTCGTTGGTCTACCTTAACCAGGTTGCGCCTTGATAAAGTGGGCTTGTAGAATTTTTGGAAGGGCAGTTCACTGAGCCCTGGCCACGAAGTAGGTAATGCCCTATAAGGCTATAGAAGTCAGACTCGCATTTGCAGTTTCATGTTGTCTCTGGAGGTCAGATGAATCATGATGTATACACCAAATTTCCAGTATATGTACACAGTCCGATACATCTCAGCAGAGAGTCAAAGCACTTTGTCTTCTAGCTATTACGTCTTTCCCGGCGTCTCTCTTTCTCCAGCAACGACAATCCTGTGATGAGCACCATTACATCAAATTTCGCTCCATAGTCGACATTGATCTGGAATTTGCCACATTTCTCCCAACTCTTGACTCCATTGTTCACATAGACCGCAACCAATTCCTCCGTCTGCTCATCAATAAATTTGAAATTCTTCGTGCTCAACTTAGAAGGCACGTCATCTCCAATCGGGGTGCTATGTGTTCGTTTCCACACAAAGGTCTTTCTTGCGCCTGCGTGTAGTGTCATTTCGATTCGATAATGATTCGTTAACTTGTATCGCTTCAACTCCTCCCAGACAATGTCAGAATCGTTTGGATCGCCAAATCCGACTTTGCAGTGCCGCGAGAAATTGATGAATTTGCATACTGCCGCGACGGGGGCTTGGTCGGTTTCGCCCGCGTGGTATGTCACGTCGGGCTTGCCGATGGTGAAGGACGAGCATCGCACGTAGGCTAAAGGGGTTTTGTCTGCTGTGTAAATGGCGAAGTCGTTTCTGCGCCGTCTGTTGTACACATGGAATCGTCGTGACGTGGGTGTAGATACCATAAGGGTCTCTTCGTATGTAGAAATACTGTCTGAGTTTTGACGTTCGGGCTGATGAGCCATGTTGAGGGAGGTGTCGCAAGACACTCTTTTTTCCATATCAGGATGCCTTTGAGGGGGGCGAAATCAAATTCGAACATCAGGGAAATGGAGGACACCATTTATAACTCTCTATCCAGTCAATCATTACCTAATTTCAAGGCCACAATATCCATGACCTTTTGAATCTTATGGCTTGTGATTAACTCAAGGCTGACCGCAGACCTCGTGTAGAGTGGGTCGGATCTAGAACTGGGTGGCGGAGCACTTCTACATCCAGCATCGCGGATCAAGTACAGTCCACCTTCTTATCACCGATACGAGATTTCCAAGGCTTTACCATTAAATGGCAGTATTGGGGGAGCTACCATGGGGTAAGTATTTCGCTCGATGTCTGAAGTGGAAAACATTTATTCTCTAGCTCGGTACCTGTATGGACGTGGTAGTTTGGCCGTTATCCGTTTGAGAAGGATGGCATTAACGACACGACAGAAAAGTTCATAGCACGATAAGGCTAGTCCGAATAAGGAGCGTCCCTACTTTAATATAGAATGCTACATTCGAATTTTATAAAATACCAGTAGAGTCCTTAGGAATATATAAGCCAATATCTTAGAAAAGACTGTAGAAAAGACTGTAGAAAAGACTGTAGAAAAGACTGTAGAAAAGACTGTAGAAAAGACTGTAGAAAAGACTGTAAAGAAAGGTAATAGTAGGAGGGGGATTAGAATAATAACTTAGTCTATTATATGGATAAATAGATAGAGGTCGCGTATACAGTCGCTAAAGATATTAACGATTAGATAAATCAAATTGCATTAGTTAGATCGCGGAAGATGTCAGACCAACAGACAGAATCAGACGCGGAACTCACAAACGTGCCCCACTTTGGTACAGTGGTTTATGTTCCTCCTTCGCTACGGAGTACTGCCCTCGGAAACACACGTACATAATCTCTGTCGCCATCTCTCGCTTTTGCCTTTCTCTCTACATCCTAGGGTGAGGTTGGAAAGGCAGCTGTTTCTGGGGCTAGGGGTCATTTCGGGGTTGATCTCACTGCTCCATATAGTATGTGAAGAAGGCTAGCAGTGTCTGTCGACGCTCTCCAGGTCGTGATTGGATGGTCCCTTATTGTGTCATTTTCTCAAAAGATGTCTCAGTTGACTAGTGAAGGGTGTGCAACAACCCCGCTTTTTTTTTATAGTTGAAATCTCACACGCAGAGTTTAAAGCTAAAGGCCTGATATTCAATCTCATATAGTACTATGATCTTGACCGGTATTGTGCTACTTCATGTCTATAAGGTCGGTCTAATCCAATTACTTCTCACGGAACTCATAAGATGACTAACCCCTGGTTAAGCGCTCGGTGAGTCACCTGACTTTTTCTTTGTTTGAACTACCTTCGCCACCCCCTGAGAGGGTCAAGATCGTCAGACGAGATCGTGGCCTCTACTCAAGAGATCCCCTTGGGTGAAAGTCTTCATGTAGAAAACTAGCTTCTATTAGGACAATGCCATTGGAAAAGTAACCTCGTTTTGCCATTGGACGAGATCCGTGGCGGATCGGTAGTTATGCCATGCATTCCGCGATGGAGGGTCCATTTCCAGGGGGGTTGACGCGTAGAAAACGCCTCGTGTCTGGACCGATAAGCCATCGATTTTCTCATGGAACATGGAACATCGCAATACGAATGGCTGAACACCGTAGTTACCCCATCTGGCGAACCTTCATGGTTCGGTCGATCCCTCGTCAGGGGTCAATGGCTCATTATTCTTTAATGGATTCACGGTTCAAGACTTCAGGTACCAACTACCAACACGGCTGCGTCACCGGGGCCCAGGCCAATGCTTGTCACGACCCCTAATTGGCCCCACGGGACCCTGCCAGCCCCGAACCCTCTCAAGTCCCGAAGTCCCCAATCCCAAGCCCCAAAGTCCCCCGTCTGCCTTCTCGCCTGCCGCCCCTCGGTTCTTCTATTATGCGACCGGGCTTTCCGACCTATCTTCCGGCCACTTCTTCTCTCCTTCATGGCCAATTCTGTTTAACTGCGTCCCTCCTTTGAACTATCATGCTTTGGTTCGGCCTGTTGTTGTTGTGCCTGCAAAATGTCGTTGCCTGGCACTCCGACGATGATCTGATGTCCTTTGTGACCGTGAGTGGCCGGTGCTTCGTTTCTATGCCCAGAAGTGGATGGGGATTTGGCTAATCATCGTATTCTTGTCCAGCTTCCGGACGTGAGAGCCGTCAAATTCAACATTACCTACCAAGACCGCAGTCGTGTTGCGCCGGGATACTGGTTTGTCTCGCCGTATTTACACATCTCCCCGGATCAGCCCACCAGCCTGTACGAGCAGTATCAGGTTGGCCCGCATATCTACGATCAAGATGGGGTATGTCGTTCGTCGATCGATCACGCAGTCCATCGTGTGACCCTCGTACCAAGGCTCGACTAACCCAACTCTCTTGCTATGCTGACAGCACCTCATCTGGACCGGATCGCCCATGTTCGACAACCGCAATGTGTTCGATTTCAAGGTCATTCACAGCATTGGGAATGAACCGCACATCTCCTTGATTTTGCAATTTGCGGACGACGACGCCAGCGAACGTGGATATGGAATGATTTTGGATAAGAGTTACGAAGTATTCAAAAAGGTCCCTCTACGGCAAGATCTCGGCCTCTTCGATATCCATGAGTTCAACGTCCTCAAGAACGGACAGTCCGCCCTGACGACGGTCTATCTGAACGAGGAAATTTCCCTGGCAGAATTCGGTCGTCCCGAGGAACGAACCTGGCTGGACCTCGGCGGTTTCGCGGAGATCGACCTGAATACTGCGGAGGTGACTTACGAGTGGAGATCGTATAATCAGATTCCCCTGGCTGAGACTGTTCACTATTCCCCTTCGTCCCCGGTGGAGGGTCCCCCTGGCTGGGATTACGTGCACATCAACTCGGTCGATAAGAACGACAATGGTGATTACTTGATTTCCATGCGCTTCACCAATACTCTCTACCTGGTTTCCGGCGTGGATGGGCATATCATCTGGCGACTCAATGGACAGCACGGCGGTGATTTCGCCCAGGAATTCACGTTCTCAAAACAACATGACGCCAAGTTTTTGGAGTCCTCGGGCACTCGCCACATAATCTCTTTCCTGAACAACGCATCTGACGAGGAATTCGCCGAGGAGCAGGTTTCTGCTGCGTTGATCATCGAGGTGGAATCGGGAACGGTGCCTATGACTGCTCGGGTGCTCCGGCGCTATAACCGCCCTGATGGTGATCTCACCCGACTTCGTGGTAACTCGCAGGTGCTTCCGAACCAGAACATGTTTGTTTGCTGGAGCCAAGGTGGGTATATCTCGGAGTTCTCGCTCGAAGGCGATCCTCTTATGAGTGCTCAATTCACCTCCCCTCGCTACTCCAACTACCGTGCCTACAAGTTCGAGTTCACCGGTCGCCCCCACACTCCTCCTGGCGTTGTCTCGTCCGTGGTCGGAACTGACGAGTCAAACTTGGTGACCACATTCTGGGTCAGCTGGAACGGTGCCACCGATATCGCGTACTGGAATTTTTATGCTCAGGCATCCCAATTCGACAAGCCTGTCTTGGTCGGCAATGCTTCGAAGACCGATTTCGAGACCATGTTCATCGCGAAGGGATACCTTGACTGGGTCACCGTCGAGGCTGTCGACCGCAATGGCACGGCCTTTGGCACTTCCAAGGTACACCGAACCAGCTTCCCTAACTGGGAGACCTCCGGATGGAACGGGTACTCTTCCAGTCCTCGACCTCAAAATCCAGCGACCATCTACCAGGAAGACAGTAGTATTATCGCAGAGGATTCGACCAGCGACGATGACCTTCTGCTATCTGCGGATGATACGGCGGATGCTCAGATTCGCAAGGCAACGTTGACCCTGATGAACACGTACGAGACGATTCGCAGTATCGGAGGCCTCTTCGCGCTGATCTTGCTCTTGGCCTTGATGAGCGGTATCATGGCGAGCTATATGCTGATTCGTGGCTGGCGGGTCCGGCTATACCAGCGCGTTCCCATGGAGGATGGAGTTCCTGAGGAAGAGGCTCATTTGCGACCGGAAATGGCCGATTGAATTCCTCCAGGTTAAAGTTTGCCTTGACTTACTGTTGTACATGCATGGGTTGCGGGAGTTTCGTCGCACATTAGTGTTTCATATTGGTATGGCGTGCTTTTTTATCATTTGTACATAGCCTCCAAGCTGTTCATGTTTACTGTCCCAGCTGATCAACACAGCGCTTCAATTGGATCCGTTACATGCCAACACCTTGATTTCGATTCGCTTGTTTGTCTTTTAACCCATTGAGGATGATCGATGCGCCCACAAACGCCCGAGAATGACCATAGTGGACCTTGTCCAACCTGCCAGCTGCGGGGCATCCATTTATCAAGGGATCCATGCCTCTTGATGTTGGACCAACTCTTCATTCCAGGTCTTTCGTGAAGACATTGGCTGCAGTGCACAGCCTGGCGTTCAAGCAGCCGCCGGATTTCCGGAAACTCACTCGGTATGGCGAGCGAGACCTGCATCGACCTAGCATGGAAGCTTGATCATCAGATCTTTCTTTGTTGGGGTCGCAAAATTACATCTCCGGGTCTGGCCCACCGATTACATGAGAATAACTTGATGAGGGTCGCAAGGGATTCCCGGATCGCGGGTCTCGGGAATAATGCCACTTCTATTCCCGAGGATTTATTCCCGGCTCCTTCCCTTCTTTTTTTTATTCCCGCCGAATCTATTTAGGTCTTTAGGTGACTCAAATCGCCACAACGCGGATTTCAATTTTCAGCAGAAAAATTGGTCGCATCCGTTTTCCACATTCAAGCCTTGCTCTTTAAACTCAATTTTACCCAAAACGAGAGCAGTGGTAGTACACAATGCCTTCTACTAGTCTTTGCCAAGACGAGGCATGCCCTCCATACAGCCTCATGGACGATTATAGCGAGGGAGCCCACTCACAAATATTGGAAGCTCTTCTTCGGACCAATTCAACACAACAAGTCTCCTACGGGAATGATGAGTACTCCAACCATGCCAGACAATTAATCCGGCAAAGAATTAATTGTACCGAGGATGAGGCGGAAATTTTCTTTGTTCCCAGTGGAACCTCTGCAAACCTCATTTCAATCGCCAGCTGCCTCCGTCCATACGAGGCTGTTATTACTCTGGACTCTGGACACATCGCATCTAAAGAAGCTGGCGCGATCGAAGCCACGGGACACAAGTTGATTCTCGTCCCTGCAGTCGATGGAAAGATGACCCCAACAAATCTGCGCAAAGCTATCCAGCAAAATCAGTTCTTCCCGCATATGGCGAAACCCCGGTTGCTGTATATCTCTAATGCGTCAGAGACCGGGACTGTCTACACCAAGCGCGAAATGAGCATTCTGTCCACACTATGCAAAGAGTTGAACCTTCTGCTCCTGGTGGACGGGGCTCGGATTGGATCCGCCTTGTGCTCGAAGAAGAACGATATGGTTCTGCGAGATATCTTTGAATTTGCCGATATTTTCTGGATCGGCGGAACCAAGGCCGGTGCGCTTATGGGTGAAGCCATCGTTGTGAAGAAGGCTCTCGCGGAGGGATTCGTCTTCCATCTCAAACAACACGGCGCTTTGCTGGCGAAGGGCCGTATCCTGGGTGTTCAGTTTATGGAGCTGTTCCGGGATGATCTGTTTTTTACTCTGGCTACCCATGCCAATGCCATGTCTGAGAAGATCTCGGCTAATTTCGAGACTCTGGGTTATAAATTGGCTGCGGAGACGGAGACCAATCAAGTGTTTGTCATTCTACCGCAGCGATTGATTCGGACACTGCAGGAGAGATTCCGATTCTATACTTGGGAACATCTGGACGATGGACAGGTCGTTGTGAGGATTGTTACTTCTTGGGCTACGGACGAGTCGCAGGTCGACAAGTTCAATGCCGCGGTGTTACAGTGGACGGTGGCAAACAAGGACATTTGCATTGAATAGGAGCGTTGTGCATATAGATACCTAAGCATTCTTAATAGAGACTAATCCAGATACGATTTTTCATAATATTTCCAATGGAGATGACCTACCTGTCTGGTGAGGAGTAGTTCAAGTAGAACACTGAAGAGGTCACATGACTTGATACACTGGTAGTCTCGACACCTGAATTCTTGAGATCATCCCGATGCTTCTCTCCTTCCTACTCGCCCCTCACAGCAATGAAGCCTTGAAAGCAACTCCCTTCGCAATTGAACTTTTAATCACTTGAAGGCCTCCCTAATGGAGCCGGTATGACTGTCAAATTATCCCTTACTTAGAATCCATTTTAGACCATCCAATGAGGCTATCCATATCATGTGATGCATGTCGGTATGTTTGCCCGAAAACAATTCAACAGCTTATTCTAACCTTGACAGGCGAGCAAAGGTGAAATGCATCCATGAAGGAACACCACCTTGTCGACGATGTCAAAAAGCCAAGATCGAAGATTGCACTTTAACAGATCCCCGGGAATCAAGGCAACAAAGCAGCAGCGTAGTCAAACCAGGGCCGTCGCGAAAGCGAAAAGCTACCGCTAATTCATCGCTCGCCCTGGAAAGTGATCATAACGCAAGGCGGCGAAACTCCCGCAATACCAAGGATATTCCTGAGGATCCAATCGTATCTTTGTCTGCGTCGACTATCATCAGTGCTATCGAGACTTATCGGAAGAAATTCCCGATTGCGAACTTTTTGCATTATCCTTCACTGATCTCAGATGTCTCGTTGAATTTCGAGTCAGTGGACCCGGTTTTTATCGCATCGCTTCTTTCGCTATGTGTACGCTTCATGAGCGGCGATGGGTTGGAAGACGAGGAGACGTATGCGGGCTACGCGCAGAAACACCTTGCACATCGTGTGATGGAGGCTCCTTCACTTTATCTCGCTCAGTCTTTGGTTATGATCTCGTTTTACGAATGGGGCACTGGAAGACCGTATCAGGCTTGGATGTATAGTGGTAGGTGGGAGTCATAGCACAGCGTGGATTAGCGTTGGAGATGACACTGACTCCTCCAGGAATGGCCACATATATGATTCAGTCACTTCTTAAAATGGCAGATGACAGTATGGAACACAGTCCACACGAATTCCACGCCTCTCAAACACAGTACGAGCAGCTTGTTCGAACGTACTGGTGCTGCTTCGCACAGGACTGTGAGCTGAGCTCAGGTGCTCGGCAACATTTCGCGCTGTCATTCTCTCAAATATCAGTCCCACTTCCCATCAGTGATCGCGACTTCACGTTCAATCAATTGCCAGAACGGAGACTGATGCCAGTTGACATGAACAAGAATTGTCCTCAGGCAAATAATCTAACAATCGAGAACGGCCTGACAATAGTAATCAGAGGGTTTGACATCTTTGTCCGGATTCTTCGATTCGCCAACGAACATCGACGCTCTTTGGCATCCTTCAACTCCGATGAATCGCCGACCCCACCCCTTCATAAAACCTGGCATCGACTCAAATCTGAGCTGGACGAGTGGCGGTCACTTCAAGACAGAACTGTCAGATACCCTGATACTAGTGCTCAGGCTCATGTCGCTTTAGGGTATGGGGAATTGTTTGCATATATTAATCTGCTCTATTTCATGAGGTACGCTCTGAAAATAATTCTCCGTAGCCAAGGGGGATTCTAATTTCTAGCCACAGCATCGTCTTCCTCCACCGTGATCGCTTCCTTTCTAATCTCAAGCCGCACACCGATGTTTTTCACGACATGGCTGACGACGATCAATATCAGCCTGACACGATTCAACAACTGTTCGAGGCCGCACAGCATATCAGCAGTATTCTGTCAGCACTGGAAGCCTCTGAGGCATCCGTGATGACTCCTTACTCAGGATTTAGCGTTTTTGTTGCAGCACACATTAACATGTATGGTACTCTCGTACCACAAAGATATCCAGGAGGGCTTGATCGAGCAGAGGACGAAAAGACCCATAATATGATGTATCTTGAACGACTGAGTACATTGTGGCCGGTTGGTAGAAGTTGGGTGAGAAATTATTCCAAAACTCGCCGTTGACTGTGCGGATGACCTAACGTAACATAGTGGCGAACCGTTCAAGATGCGAATCGATTCTACGAGACGGTGAAGAGTACCCAGACACACCCAGAATCGGGCATGCATAGCCCTAGGCGGTTTGCATTGGCAGGTACCTTGGACGAATATGGTGACATTCGTTCGCGGCCTAGTCGCGAGCTACACACAACCAAATCAATGACGGCGGACGCTCGAGGAGAACAAAGCACGCGCCAAGCACACGGGCCCACAGTCTCACCCCCTGGCGACGAAGGCGAAGTGGCGTTTTTCCAGAAAGATTCAAGTACAACCGGAAGTCATCCTGATCTTGAGACTGATATGTTTCAGTGGCCTTTCATCGATGCGTCTTGGTCTGTCGGGTTTGATTCTGGGCTAGACGGCCTGTGGCATCACTCAGGGTTGTTCGACCCGAACTCTGCGATGAGGTGATCATTCAAGCCACGAAAGAATAAATAAAAGGATCATTTAACATTGATTATGCAGTATGTGGTATCTAGGTATATTCTATAGTACATCATCTCTTACTTGTGTCATCGGCTCTCGCCGTCGGCACTTTCCACGGTCTGCGACACCGCGACCGTCTTTCTAATTCCATCATCATTATAAATTGAGTCGGCTGCCTCTGGGGCTCCGGCGAAAGAGATCAGATGGCTTTGGTCATTTTGATCGCCGAAATTTGGCGTCTTGCCAAAGCGGCTGGCAGACTGAGAGTTGTTTCCAGACTTGCGATCGCCCATGTGAATATCGGAGCTCTGGTTGTAATATCGTTGAGAGGAGTACTCTTTCTGGTAGTGGCGGTAGAGCACGTTGAGAATGGGAAGACAGGCGCAAATCAATCCGACGCCACCCTCGGCATTACTGGTTATTGTTAGGGGCTATAAATTTCCCAAAAGACGACGAGGTGGAACAACTTACCCGGACATGATGACACAAACGAACAAGATACTCATATCGGATGAATTGCCATTCTTCAGCACGAGGATCAGTCGATACACGCTGAAGCCGGTCGCAAGACCTCCGGCGCCAAGAATTCCAATCACGCGAAGCTTCCGACTGCGCGACATTTGCAGGGACCAAGTCAATGGCAACGGTAGAACGAGGATTATTAGGTCGCTCACGACACTGATGACCGAGTCGGCGATCAAGGCGGCATTTTGATCCAGACATGAGCCTTCGCCGTTTGGAAGTTCTCCGAGCCAGTATAGGGGAATAGGGTAGCACATCCGGATCTTGATGATGAGGGCGATGATGTAATAGACGCACAGGCAGCCGAGTAGGATGTAGATGAACCACACCTTGCCACGGTACGGAGCGAAGATGCGAGTGAGGATCGATAGGAGGGCGATTTTGACGAAGAGGGCCATCGGGCAGTAGAGAATGGTGGCGATATAGCAGAACTTCTTGTATTGGATCTGGGTTTCGTGGCTTAACTCGTCGAAGTGGTAACCTCCGCCATGGTTTCCGACTGAGAAAGAATCAGCTATCTATCTGGCTTGAACGATGCTGATATAGGCTCAACACTTACCGACAATACTGATCCCGCAGTATCCCATGAAAAGTGCCTATTAGATGATGTCAGTATACTTCCACATCCTGTACAGTCAGTCAATGCAAGTCATACCCAAGCTACAGCGCATGCATCTATAATCATAAAAGGTTAGCAAAGGTACTTTGCAGGAGATATTGGAAGGCAAAACCCACAGTCTTCAACTCCGAGGCTCTGCTTGAATCGCCATCGAGTGTAGAAGCGCAAAGCCACAAAGATCGAGACGATCGGAATGCACAGACATTGTGTTACGAGATTGACCGTGTGGTAGACATCGTGCGGTTGACTCGTCGTCATCTTGAAGCCGACGCCAGAACCACACACAAAATGCTATTGCTTGCAGGTTTGGAAAGGGAAATATTGGGAGTCGTTGGAATCATAAAAGAATATGACGGCGGTCGAGCCTCGTCGATCGCATGATCCGATTCGCAGTTCGCGATAAAACCAAACGATGGTAGGCGGCAAAAGATCCATGTTTGAACTGTGGAACTTGGAACAACTATTGACCATACGCTCAATAGTCCAGGGTTCCATGCGGCTGGCTTCCGGGCCCCGTTCTTTAGGAAGCGTCGTCTATGATTGCTGGACCAGCCGATATACTTTGGCTATGCCTCGGATGTCGGCGCAAATTACGCGGCGGCTCCCGATGATCTGGTCTCCTATGATTGTCCCGATGAACAGTAGGCTCCACAATCTGCACTGCGTCAACCGCATTGAGTAAAGTCTAATGGATTGCCGTCTCGTATCCAACCTTACAGCATGGCCCGGAAAGCCTCCAAGAAACTATAGTCCCCACGTTGAAATGACACCGTCGTTTTAGCAAGCGGCATACGTGGATTACCACAAGGCCGACGTCCTAACTATTTCCTAGCCGAATTGACGGGTTTGACAGCACGTCCCGAGTCTTGGGACACTATTTTGAAAAAGAAAAAAATTGCAAAAAGGGGGGGCAGCGGCCTTCCCTTGTTTTGTTCTCCGTATATTCCCCTTTTCCACCTCCATTGTGATTATCGATCCTCCACATAAATATAATCCACAAAGCCAGTGCGATGACTATCCACTATCTTGGACCTGAACACTCGGCCCTTTTTCAGCCCCTGACCATTGCCAATGGAAAGATTACCCTCCGCCACCGCATCATCCATGCGCCTTTAACCCGTAACCGCGGAGTGCCAGCAAACCCTATCAGCACTGCAGAGAATCCTAATCGTATTTGGGTTCCTGGTGACCTTGTGATCGATTACTATTCACAGCGGGCTAGTGAAGGTGGTCTGATTATCTCGGAGGGAATTCCTCCTTCTCTTGAGGTAAATAAACCCAAGCGATGTATCATCACCTTGCATAACAAATCCCCTCACACGTATCCCCCTGATTGTGTGGGTGAAAGGGGCTTCGGCTCCTCTATTTCGGTTCCAGTTTCTAAACATTTGACATGATCGTTACAGAGCAATGGAATGCCCGGCGTCCCCGGCATTTTTACCGAAGACCAAGCCCGTGGCTGGAAGAAGGTTGTTGATGCCGTCCACGCCAAGGGGGGCTTCATCTATTGTCAGCTCTGGCACGCTGGCCGAGCTACGATCCCCCAGATGACTGGTTCACCTGCCGTGTGCCCCTCGGCCAGTGTGTGGGACTCGCCCACAGAGTGCTATTCGCACCCGCCTGTGGGCTCCACCGAGCCCGTGCCATACGCGAATCACCCGCCAATCGAGCTCTCCGTAGCGCATATCAAGCAAACCATCCAGGACTATTGTGCCGCCGCAAAGACCGCTATGGAAATAGGCTTTGATGGTGTGGAGATTCACGCCGGCAATGGTTATCTCCCTGAGCAATTCCTTAGCTCCAACATTAACAAGCGCACGGACGAATACGGCGGCACTCCTGAGAAGCGCTGCCGATTTGTCTTTGAGCTTATGGAAGAAGTTGCAAAGACCGTTGGCGAGGAGAATCTCGCCATTCGTCTCTCACCGTTTGGCCTGTTCAACCAGGCCCGTGGTGAGCAGCGGGTGGAGACCTGGACTTATCTTAGCGAAGGTTTGAAGAAGGCTCACCCAAGCCTTTCATATGTTAGCTTCATTGAGCCGGTATGACTTCGTTCCCATGTCACAGATAACTCACCAGCCTTTGCTAACTAACCAATTTAGCGTTATGAACAAATTTTCAATTACGAGGAGAAAGATGCTTTCCTCAAGAGCTGGGGCTTGCTGGACGTCTCCCTCACCAAGTTTCGGCAAATCTTCGGCTCAACCCCCTTTTTCTCTGCTGGCGGCTGGGATGATAAGAACTCGTGGGGTGTAGTCGAGTCCGGAAAATACGATGCTCTTCTTTATGGCCGGTACTTTATCAGCAACCCCGACCTGGTCAACAGACTGAAGAAAGGTCTCGCGTTGGCCCCGTATGATCGTACCCGATTCTATGGGCCTTTCGAGGACAATGCCTTCCACTACACTGATTACCCAACCGCAGATAAGCAGTGATATGATAGATGCAGACATGACCTGATGATAGATAGATGTGCCTCATTGAACCGTTCTTCAAACTTTCAACTTCAATGCTCTCCAACCCATTGGGCCCTCACGTTTACCACCTGGAAATCGTAAACCTAGGTAAATAGGGCGTTCTTTTACCATTCTTGTGCATACCAAACCGCTCTGGAGGCGCCTTTTCCTGAAATCAACAGCACAGTTCCGGTTTGAGGGGCTCATAGAATGCGTTCATCTTGGAGCGACCATAGCGACCCGTGCACTACATGTTTACACACAGTGGGTCCGGGCAATCCGGTAGACATCAGAACCACGCGCGGATTGTACGATTTCTGCAGAAAAGGAGTGAAAACTTTAAATAAAAGCCGTTTGGACCTCAGTTTGTTGCTGTATCTCCTTTGCTGGTGTCACGAGAGCCCAGGCCTTGATTTACGCCGGTGATAAGCACGATGTCTGAGTGCGAGGAGGTGATCATTGTAGTCTGTTGGAGCATACGTGTTATTCTGACCACACTGCAGCTGTTCTCAATTCTTAGATGCAAATCAGACCTATTGGCTTGTAACTGAGACGATTATAGAAGCCCTACGGTGAAATTATCTATTCATAGCTATCTTCCACACAAGGCCCATCTAACCTCGGAGTCCACGGGAATCCCGATTCAAGGTGTATAACGACGGAGCTGTGGCCGAGCTTTGCGCTTAGATACGAACACCATCACACGGAAACATAGAATCAAAGGATAGAAAAGCGTTCTCTTAACTCGCAAGACCAAGTCTTGTCGATTGACCACGAATTGACCCCAGCCTCTATCTAATTTAACCAGACGGCATCTAACAAAGCTAAATCCACATAATCAAAAAAAAATTAACATCCTTCATCCCCAAACATCTTCCTGCCACTTGTTCTTCTTCTTCACAGCCTTACTCCAGTCATTTGTCTCCTCATCTGACCAGCCCTTGGCAATCTTCATGGCACCACCAACCGCCTTCTCTACCTCACGTGCCATTCCAGCCCTTCCACAGACATAGAAGCTACCACCCTCATCGATGAGCTTCACAACTTCGTCACCAAGCTCTGAGACCCGATCTTGCACATATTTGCGCTGCGAGCCCTCCTCTCTGGAGAATGCAGTCACCAGGCGCAGCTTATCGCCAAGAACCCTCTGCATCTCCTCCAGCTCTTCTCGGTAAATGAAGTCCTCCTTGGGGATTCGGCATCCAAAGAAAAGAATCATTTGTCCAATCTCCTTGCCAATCTTTTGGACTTGACATCGCTCAGATAGGAATGCGCGGAAGGGGGCTAGGCCTGTGCCGGCGCCAACCATGATAAGGGGTGTTTTGCTGGTGATGGGCAGCTTGAACTTGCTACGACGGATGTGAGCAAAGACTTTACCGCCCTCTAGGGCATTGCTGGGGCCATTGAGATGGTAGGTCAGTCCGTGTGGGTGAGGCTGAGAGTGGAGGTGTTGAGAGATGGCGAGAAGGTAGTTGGATGTGACACCGTGCACAAGTTGGTTGGCGTTTTCTGGAAGAGGGGTGGTAGAGGCGATGACGGTGATAGATGGTTTGCGAGGAGAAACGACACTGCTCGAAGAGATGGAATAATATCGAGGACGAATGTGAGGCATCGTCTCGATGAGGTATGCGAGGGGGAGCCTAGACCAAGCCTGGTCGGGGCATGCGAGCTGCAAAAGGCGGCCGAGATTGATATGTGTGCGGTTGAGGATATCGGCGTAATACTCCTTATCCTGACCGAGCTTGGTCAAGTAGGCCTTCGCCTCTGGGGTTGGGGCAAACTGTGCGAGATCGCGGATGTTGTCACGGTTGACCGGAGCACAGATTTCGAGGTAGTGGCGGAAGAGAGCAATCGCACTGGTCGGGGTCGGGATCGTGATTTTGGTGGCCGAGTCAACGGCCTTGATAACAAGTGGAATATCGCGACGAGATGAGATACCCAGTACTTGTAGCAGGCGCTCAACTTCAGTGTCGGGGTTTCCAGGCCAGATGGCAACGTGATCGCCAGTCTTGTAGGTTAACTCGGGATGGCTGCTCAAGTCCAACTCCATATGCAGACAGTTTCGGTCCGATGCAGTGAAGAGTTCCCTGGAGTTGGTGATGCTCAATGTACGAACCGGCGAAGATTGAGTGGCTGACTTATGTCCATCGAGTTGGTTGTTGGGCTCTCCATTGTGGATGTCGATGGGCTCCAAGGACTCATCTTCGTCAACCGTCAGGGTTGGAATGTATTTAGCTTCGACTTCCTGGAAACCAAATTGCTTGCGGAAGCAAGTGAACAATTGATCTTTCCAGGCCATGAAGTCTTCCTCGGTAGCGCCCTCGGCATCGTTAGCTCTGCCAATGGGCATGAAAGCCTTTGCTCCAAACTTCTCCAGGCCTTCCACGATGACGTCGATAACGCGATTGTAGAACTTGTAGTTGGAGTTTCCCAAACCAAAGGCTGCATATCGCAGGTTGACGAGTGAGACAGCATCGGCCTTGTTGATCCAACTCCAGAAATCGGCAGTGTTATCACTCGGGTCACCTTCACCATAGGTAGACACTATGAAGATGGCCAATTTTGACTCGGGGATTTCCGCAATAGTAGCAGGTTCATAGTCTGAAAGATCCGCCGTCATGGTCTCCTGGCCCCACCGCACGGAAATCTCCCTGGCTAGCCGGTGGGCAAAGCCTTCGGCCGTACCAGACTGTGACCCCCAGAAGATGACAACGTTCTTCCCGGTCTCCTTCAGTTTCTGTGCAATATTCCTCGTTTCTCTCTTAGCATTCGCTCCCAGTTGGCCATCATTTTTCAACTGAGGTCTTTCGAACGCAAGGTGATGGTACGGATCGGGCTTATCCCACAGGATCCCTCGCGAGAGGAAGGTTGCTCCTGTACCGGCGAGGATGGCGAGGGCTGTATAATCGGCGATGCCAGTCGGGGTGGCGTATTTGGATACCTCCTGAAGGAGCTCGGATGGGATGTTCCACTGGGATAGTTGAGAGAGGGCCATTGTGTGAGAAGTAATGGATAGAGAGCGTCCAGTTCTCTAGAGGTGATTATATCGGTCCATAAATGGTCTCGGGTGTGATGAATGTGAAGTAGTGTGAGTAGTATAAGAGGGTAGGGCGTTTGAGAGCGGTTTGGCCTTTATAACACAGCTTTGTATACAGTCACACAGGCCGGGGACCCCGCAGATTTAAAATACATCCTCATTCCCCTATGAAGTCTTTTCCATGGCTGGGAAAGAATGCCCGATCAGGCCTGTGTCGCTGAGAGAGTCTGAGATCCTGAGACTCGGCAAGAAGCCTCCACTGCAAAGGCCGCGGGGAAAATTACCCATCCGGGAGATTGACCTCGTCAGTACTGTCAGTACTGGGGCGGCTTTCATTGATGATTAGTTATCAGGATCCGGTCGGTCCAGCCAGATTCTACCATATCTCTGGGTTTGAGCTGGGGGATGGCTTGAAGGGGAAGAGTCGCCCCCTCTTGGCGTGGAGTGGTTATGAGCAAGCCTGAATCACTAGCATTATAGCAGATTGAGGCGCCGAAGACGCCGGGCGCACGGGGCAGCTGATCATCACATCCGGTCTCCAGATAACAATTAAAAGAGCCAACTGCGGGGGCTAACCAGAAGGACTAAATTGCCAAATCGTGTAAATCTAAATAATTGCAAATTTGGCCGAGACGCGGTCAATTGGGTAAGATTTGAGAGGATCCATTACTGGGCTGTTGGTAGGTGACGGCGAACGTGGAGAAGCGGGGCGTGGCGCGGGGTAACTGCCCCGACGAGCGGGAATTATAGCCCGCTTCGAGGTTGACATTGAAGCCAGTTGACATGGTATCGTCATATTGAAAATAAGTATAGATAGACCGAGCCTACGCGTTCACATGACATGAGATATGACAACGGATACAAAAACGTGAGAATATGCGTGAGTCCTTTGGTGTTTATTAAAGTCCTCTGGAAATATTCTAAAATGGCCACGGCCTGGTTTGGACGGGGAATGTTTCCCTTCGCAAACGTTCCTCGTGGAACCGAAACATCAGACACCCGAGTTATTCTAGAAAGGTTCATGCAGATCCTGAGATGCCAGTAGATACCACTTATGTCGGAACATGGGACCCTTGGCCGCTATTCCACGCGGCAACGACATTTACTTCTTGGTCGAAGTCCGGTGATCACTTTCCGCCCGTAGCCAGCCATTCTTGGAATCTGCACAGCGCTTGATAGCGATGGGATAACTTGTTCTGTTTGACATCAGCGATCGGGGCAAAACGGCAAGTACTCATACTGGGAGTCACTTTACCTTCTTTTCATGGGCCATTTCCGCAAGCGTTTCTCCTTCGTGTTCGAAGATTGGTTCCCATCCTTTCTATTCATGAGCTTCGATGTTCACATGTAACTACACTCATCTAATGGCACGTACCGAATACGGGAGGTCCTCGCGCAGCAACAATTTTGCCCTGTAGTTTTGGTCAACGAATGGTTCATATTTCAAGAGCCATAAGTCCCACGCACATGAAGTCTTCCTTGAAAGATCAAGGGCTCGCTGGTGGGCCCTGAGGAAAAGGCAAATGTACAGACCGCGTCCGCACGTTTGTCTTCGTACGGAACCAAGAGTTTGTTCAAACCACCATTCCCAAGTTCTTCGAGGAAATATTTACTGGTTCCCAGGATTAAAAGTCAGCTTCTTGTCCGTCAATTGATGTAAATTGCCATATGCCATACATGTAGGGCCCTGGAAGCCTATTCATCGCATGAAACTCCAAGGCCGAGTCTTCCACAATCACCGGTCCATTGACCTGGGGCATATCAGAGGTCAGCAAAACTCAAAGAAAAGCCAAGCTGGTAGCAATCTTATCACAATTTGGGCGGCACGTCGGCACTTGTCTCGTGCGATGTCCTCCAGTGACCCTTGGATCTCTGGAATGTCTAATGCGAGGGCCCGAATGGGGAACGAGTCTCCGATAATGGCATTGACCTCAATAACCTTATTCGGGTTACCCGTCACAAACGTGCATGTTCTCATGATGATCCTCGATCGACTTCACAAGAGATCAATTCATCCGTCAGATCGATCTCGTTTGATCGATGCTATTGCACTATACCAAATTCGGACTAGCATAACTTGTGTCGTGCAAGGAGTCTGAGTCAACCCACTTTACGCACCCTCAGGGACCACCAGGTAGTCAATATCGGTATCGCCGTCATGACCGATTCCCAATGTCTAGCGAGACATGCTTCGCTCTCGGTTTTTATTTTCATGTCAGATGATATTCGCGGCGGAGGACTCAATCATTCCAATAACGATTGGGTTATATATTGTGACGATAGCGCTGCACAAGTTCCTTCATAAACCACATGAAAAACTTATAAATCACCTCCCAGTACCTAACTATCTACGTCGAACTCGAAGTGGTGAAGACCATGTATCGTTATCAGTATTTAAACTTGCGCCATGGGAAGAGACTATATGTACTGCTTCTGTTTCAAGAAGGTACTAGATAACGCTGCTCGGGAATGATGAGATTGGTCCAAGAGCTTTCTTTCATGACAGCGCTTGGGTCAGTCAATATTCAAAATTTCATGTCCACTACCTGTATCAAGGTAAGTTCTTGTCGCTTCTGGACTCGGACGATTTTACCCTATTGTACATTGTGAAAGTCTGTTGCGAAACGCTTCAGGTACAAAAAGTGAGGCGTCAAAACAGCGATGTCCCTGGCGATGAGGACGATACGGACAGTCCGTCAAAGCGTGTGCACAGCATCCTTCGAATAAATGAGTATGGAAGTCTCACTCGCCATCGGTGGCCACCGGGTCCTGCTCCGACGACCAGACATCCTTGGCACACGTACCGCTCTGAAGGCACATTTTGCCCGACGTGGTCCTTCAGTTGGGGGCTTATCGTGCAGAGTCTGGACTTGGGAGGTGTATAGTGCTGATGAATCCATGAAGACAAGGCATGAAGTATTTCTTTAGCTGTACATTCCAGGAATCTGTCGGAAGCTGCGACTTATGTTGCCGTATCATCGAGTATGGATTTGACAAAAAGCAAGGTAGCTAGCGCATGCAACAGAATCAGAGTATTCATCTTGATCACCCTTACCCCGGATTCTCCTATCCGATCCACTAGGCCGACCGATGGCAATGGAGGGCCATGAGTGGACGGCAGGAATGCTTGCCGGGTAACCGTCGGCTAAGTGAAGTTCGCTTGTTATTGTCGGCATGTCGAAGCCTTCACCGCGCCGATGATTGGATGATGGATTTCCCCCCAATAGTTGCTAACCCACTTAAACTAGCCTCAACTTGACTCATATCTTGAGTCAATCCTCTTCTTAGCCATACACTATCTTTTCGCAATTGACTTGTGAATCGTTCAATTTTGTGACCTTTACGAAGGTATGTACCTCCAAGATCGCGACTCGACGTCATTGCTGATGATGATCCGAGAGCGACCGCAAGGAATTGACTCACAGTCAGAGACAGTCCCAACTAATTTCTTTCTGTCCCAACTAGTTCTTCAAGTCAATTCAATTGTCCTCTTCATACTCACAATGTCTGACAAGGAGATGGAATACACATGGTACTGCTTTGGCCTTATTTGGACCCTGATCTAGAACGAATGCTAATTTCCGTGACGCCATAGCCTTGGCAAATCGGGTCTGAAGATCTCCAAGATTGTCCTCGGCACCATGGGCTTTGGTAGCAAGCAATGGCAGGACTGGGTCTTGGATGAAGAGGAGTCCTTGCACGTTATTGAGCACGCTTACAAGCGGGGCATCAACACCTGGGATACGGTAAGTAGATATCCATCTCCCTTGTCCAGACTTAAAGTATCCTCGGAAACTGACTCATCTATGAAATAGGCCGATGTCTACTCCCATGGTCGCTCGGAAGAAGTTGTTGGCAAGGCCCTGAAGAAGTTCAATATTCCCCGCAATCGTGTGGTGATTATGACCAAGTGCTTCTACGGCGTCGACGACCAGGGCCAATTCCCGCCCATATGGCAATCTGCACGTAATGAGGGTGACTTCATCAACCGTGTCGGTCTATCTCGTAAGCATATTTTCGATGCCGTTGATGCTAGTGTTCAGCGTCTCGGCACCTACATCGATGTGCTCCAGATTCACCGTTTAGACCGTGACACTCCTCGTGAGGAGATCATGAAAGCTCTCAACGATGTGATCGAGAGTGGCAAGGTTCGCTATATCGGTGCTAGCTCGGTGAGTCTTGGAATATCCCGCTACATATATAGATGGAACAAATGCTGATGCACAGGGAGTAGATGGCTGCTTGGGAATTCCAAACTCTGCAGAACATCGCCGCCCGCAACGGCTGGCACCAGTTCATCAGCATGCAGAACTACCATAACTTGATTGCCCGCGAAGAAGAGCGCGAGATGATCCCTTACTGTCTCGATAGCGGTGTTGGACTCATCCCCTGGTCTCCTATGGCCCGTGGCGTGCTGGCGCGGCCATGGGGCTCACGGTCTACCGTCCGCGAGAGCACTGACGGTGCCCTCAAGGTGCTGATCCGTAACCGTGAGACGGAGGCGGATAAGGCCATTGTGGATCGCGTGGAGGAACTGGCGGGTAAGAAAGGCGTTAGTATGGCGCAAGTCGCTCTGGCCTGGTCCCTGAGTCATCAGGATGAATGCCCCATCGTGGGTCTGCACAGCATTGCTCGTGTTGATGAGGCAGTTGCCAGTCTGAAGATTCAGTTGAGCCCTGAAGAGATTCAGTATCTGGAGGAGCCATACATTCCCAAGACGATCGCTGCGCTGGAGCGGTGAATGGGTTTAAGTATCGTGGCGTTCCAAAACCTCGCTGGTTTGAATTGAAATGCACATCGGAGGTGATAGACATATAGAGAACAAATGCAATCTCACCCATGAATGACTCGCAAACAATATTTTGTTCTATTTGAAAAAGTAGGCTAGCAGCTCATCACAAGATGTTAGGTGCTTCATTCCGTCGTTCGTTTTGAATCATTCGGAGAAGGATGTGATAAACCCAAACTTAAAGACGCAACGACAACAAAACCAAACGCAAGCTCGTATTAGACCATGCATCAGGTGGGCAAACAAACCTCCTTGAAAAAGAATCAAAAACTCAAAAGGGGGATTGCTCATGCAGCTCCGGCAAATAAGTTCAAGTAGGAGGTGCCACAGACCCTTTTACCGTCTCCACTCGGTCAGATTCCCCAGTATTCTCCTCACCTGTGATTATCTCTGGTGAACACGCTCTCGAAGAATTCTGACTAAGAAGCTCTTCTGAAATCAATAGCCTCATCAGAATCCACGCTATCCAGGGTGTAGCTTCAATGTTAGCTTTTGAATAATCAGCAACTTCTACCAAACAAACATTCACTCATCTGCAGTATAGGCAAGTTGATCGGTTCATCTTTCTGCGGGGAGAAAACCTTTTCTCTACGACGACTTCATAGCAAAGCCCCGCTTAACAGGAAAACAAAAAAACAAAACACATCTTCGTGACTTGGCCCAAATTTAAAGCCTACTTATACAGCGCAGCACTGTTAATAAAGAGCAGCCTTTTACGGTATGGGTTTTTTATCCAAGTCTGAGTGATTCTTTACACTTTTCATCCATTCTATGATGAATTTCTCTACTTTCGTCCAGGCTGTGCTTACTGCATCGACCTATGCCATCGATCCTGCTGCTATCTACAATGGAGGTTACAATTCAACGAACAATATCGTCCTTCGCATTGGCAATGGTGGTGCCGGCCAGAGCGGGCTGATTGAGGGTAAGTTTTTCTAATGAGAATGACCATAGTTCACTTGAATCAACGACACAACCCTCTTCTAACACCATTACCATCAGCCCTGGCCAACGCCTTCATCAAGGCCAGTGTCAAAAACGGCACTGACCCGTTCGAGATTGCCTGGTACAAATCTGATACCACCCAGTCAATCAACTACCTCCAAGACGGCACCGTCGACATCGGAATCACCTACACGCCTGCCGCCGAACAGTTGGCCATAAAAACGGGCATCGCCAAGTCCCCAGCATGGTACGCCTGGCGCGACCACTTCCTCCTAGTCGGCCCCGCCTCGAACCCGGCCAACCTCTCCAAGAACCAGGATATCCAAACCCAATTCTCAACCCTATACACGACCGCCGAAGCAGGGAACACGGATCCCCCCGTACGCTTCCTTACCCGCTACGACAAATCCGCGACGAATATCAAGGAGTCTCAGCTGTGGATCGAAATAGGTCAAGTCCCCTGGGCTACCGCGTACTCGACCTGGTACCATCAGTACATCACGTATCCGATCCAGGCGTTGACGGCTGCTATCTTGCTTGATGAGTATACTATCACCGATCGCGGAACCTATTTGTCTATTTCGACACAGCTGCAGAATCAAACTACCATTTACAAGGCTGGTACTGATGATGCGGCGGATCCTTTGCTCAACCCAGCTCATATTTTGATTGGAGAGGGTGCGAAGAATGAGAGGATGGCGGATAGATTTGCGCAGTGGGCTATTAGTGATGAGGGGCAGAAGGTTATTACTGGCTTTAAGAAGAATGGGGAGCAGTTGTATACTGCTGCTCCGGAAAACAAGACTGCTCAGTTCTAGCTTATTGGCCGGAGGGTGAAACTTGGCTCTATGATGGGAGTTGACAGGAGCGTTGATCGATACTTGAGGTTTCCTATGGCTCTGGATGGGGTCGGTGGGCACTGTCTTTCTTGGGATCGACATGAATGCCGTAGAAAGTTTCTCATTCATAGGCATAATTCAATGAATGATTCAGTTTCCTCTTACGTATGCTTCCCCTGGTACAAGTTGCAAAGACGATTGGGACTTGCGAATTCACAACACGGCAAATGGACGGGCAGGTAAGTCCGGATTGCCTCTATGCTGGGTATGAGAACCCAAATCACATTTTCCACGAGATTAACATTGCGTGTCACTTCTACACGGTGATATCCAGATCAAGGTGCGATCCGCATGAGAGACCGGCAAAATCATTTATATGATAAAGAAAGGAGATGTGATATGCCAGGAATGTCAATGGTTAAAATGGTCAACGCTCCGTGCCAGACGATATGCGATGCCGAGGAAGAAGAAGAAGAAACGCCCAAGCCAAATGCAAATCGAAAAAAGGGGGGGGAAAATGCTGGTATGAGATACAGGGAGAGATTCGCTGGAAGATGCAGGGCGTATACATGCGTAGAAGGGGATCAGTGTTTTCGGTGAAAGATCGTGAAGAGAGAGCTGAGTCGGTGTCGACGTTTGGTCTTTCCAGCTTCAGACTCCTTGGAGGGTACGTCAGATGCACCGTCAAGAGTAAGCTCCGGACCACGATCCGGCTGTAAAGTGAGCTTGGGAATTTCAGGACCGGCGTTGGCTTTGAGCTTGGCATCGAGTCCGTCAAAGCGATGAGGGGAATCATCGGGTTCGACTGAGTTCTGTCGTAGAGATGGAGGGCGAGAGACTACAATATCACGGCCATTCTCGCCAGTGCCGGTGAACATGCTGTGGCGGTTGTGTCGATTGGTAGCCGCCGAGGCGCTTCGTCGTTTGGCTCGGTCCATGAATGCGGCGCCGGTTGAGTTGGATCGTCTGGACAGACTTCCAGCCCCTTTGGCGGCTTCAGGTGGTGTCATCGTATTGGCGCGCTTCATACTAGAGATCGACATGCAGCGCTTCCCGGTCGAGAAATCCTGAACCGGGCTGAACTCGTCGCGATCGATTTCGTTCTCGTTCTCAATCTTGGTTGCGGTGGGCGAGCTATACTTGGTCGACGAGGTTGGAGATGTGACGCCCTTGCCGTTAGGTGCAGATGCGGAGTCTGCGTAGTTGAAATTCTGCGACCAGCCCTCCCGGAAAGCCACCCAGATCCCCGTAACGATAATCAAAGTGCGTAGCGCATCGTCAAGGATAACCACATCATTGGCATCCACGGGCGCCTCTGTATCTGACATGTCGCTCACCACGGACATGCCGGAACTTGGGGTGGTGGGTCCATTGGTCGTTCGTGCAACCGCAGCGGAATACTCGTCGTTCACTTCTAGTTGGTTTTTGGTCATTGATGCGATTACTGGGTGCCGACGCGTATTGGGGTCAATGACGCTGAATGTGAACCGTTTCATGTCATCGCGCGTTTGCGATCCCGAGGACACAGTTCCTCGGCGGGTCTTCCCTCCTCGCAATGCCCATCGCATGACCCGAGTCCCATCATTCGTGTGGGCAACAAACTCATACGAGCCACTAGGAAGAGGGGTCGCCTCCCATACGGGTCCAAAGTTGAGACAAATTTCCGCCTTCCCCTTGAGGCGGGCCTCTTCTTGAAGCATCTGACAGACCGTAGCGACCACTTCGCGATGATCCTCATCGTCGTCTTCGGAGCTGGCGTGCTTCTCCGGGATGGTCGCTCTGGTACTCTCGTACAATTCGCTCATGACTATAATGACATCGTAGGGACCAAGGCCGTTCTTTCGGCGAAACAGAGCCGGAAACTTTCGCGCTAATCGAGGCAGATACATAGTCGAAGGAAGGACGTCTATAATGGGCAAGGGTCTGGGTGTTTGCGAAACTTGCTGTACCTGCAGTAGGAGCTTCGGTCGCAATCGCAGGCGCTTATGACGGGCATGCGAAGCCGGGTGGGCGAACTGGTATGAAGTCTTAGATCGCGACGACTTCTTAAAGGTTGGCGCACGATTGGCTCGAGGCCGTGCGAGCGCAGATGAGGCGGCGGTAGAAGACTCGCCCTCCGTCGGCGTCGACATGACTGGGCTCATAGCCGCGGTGGAGGTTGGTCCCGCGGGCGTAGCAGGACCGGGCTGCTTCAGGCGGTTACGAAAGGTATCCAGAAATGGTAGTGCCGGAAACGCGAACGAGGGTGAGTATGGCAGGGCCGATGCTGGGGGAGACTCTGGCTGGGCCGGATCAATTGAATGAGCTGCTGCGGCATCCGCTGCGAGGCCAAGATTCAGCAGCATTCTTGGACTCTAGCGGAGCCACATTTGGTCTCCTACCAACAAACCCGCAATCACTAGGAGGGGGGTTATAAGGTCTGGGAAATCCCACGTACGCATCCAAGCCTGTCCACGCGTTCGTTGCGGGGAAGCCAACCGCGAGGACAGTTTTGGCGATTAGTGGGGTGGGGGTGGAAGGATTAGGGCGGAGACAAGATCAAAATGGAAATGAAGATCAGTGAAGGACGCGAAGAAGAAACGAAAGAATGAAAGACCCGACCACAACAGAGATATGTGTGACGTATAGATGGGCGGTTAGCGTCAGATTTTCCCCGGCGAAGGGAAACTGCAAGGGGCTAAAGGGAGTGGAAGGGTGGAAGGGCGGAAGGGGGGGGGAAGAGAGAAGGGAGAGAGGTTGTAGATATACGAAATGGAGTTCTCTCTGGGGCCATCAGGAGGATCAGCTCCGTAACTGAAGACTTCAAAATGGGCGGTCAGCCTTATGCGATACTTCATGTTTAATATTCCTCTCCATTTCAACAGCAAACCAAACCTGCCCATCTCCACATGGACCAGTCGGCGTTTGTGAAAGTGCGATGGACTCCACTCTGGGCAGGCCACCTGGGATCCTGGCGGGATCGGCCATTTGCGACCTCCGGCGCATCCGAGGGGAGCACGACTCCCATTCTCATGGACCTCTGAGGCTCCGAAGCCGAGGAACGAATCCTGGGACGTCATGGTGAGAAACCACCGCTCTCGGGCGCAGCTTGGCACCTCTGCAGTAGCTGCCATTGGTTTCCACTCATCTGCTGAGCTGACCATATCGACACTAATTGGTCGTGGCGCGAATCGCCAGTTCTTACGGGTGCCAACTTCTTCAGCTTTCCAGCCACGAGTAAGCTCTGGAGTACAGTGTGCCTGAGCGGATCGGTAGTTGACATAGCCTCATCGTCACCCTCTCATTCCTCTCCAGCCAACTATTACAAAAGGGTCTGCTCGGACTGGCAGATGAGGGGTCCTTGGGCCCGCTCGACACCGACAACACAGTGTGGGGAGTCCGTTTTGACGTGACCAGCAGACTTTTTTCCCTCTCTCCGCTACGGATACCTTGGCAATTCTATCCACCCGCGGCCAGGAGGGGGCTCGATCAAACATGATCAATAATCCGCATCAGGGTCCACGCCGTATCCAACCAACGGTGAAAAAAGCGCGCAGTAGATTGGAGGCATCCTGACGGGCTCGGGGCGGGCAACATACCAAAAGCCCGAACGCCGTCTACCGCGGAATCGGACGGACTGATGCGCCGCTCGGCTGCCCCACCGTCATCGACCAGAACTCTATCCTGGTCCATTTTCGATTATTTCGCTCCAGACCCAGCGGACCCAGCTCTCAAATTACGAAGTATACGAGCGCGAGCGTGAGGACGGGCGGTACGAAGGGCCTGGTCCAATCTGGCACGCGTGTTCTCTAGGATTGCCATCAGCATCAATACTCTAACTAGATCGTTTTATAGACTTGGTCTACTAGTTGGGCGAGCACGGGAGCAGGAGCTCAATAGGGCTGAGTGGACTCATGGAGCCAAGGTTCGCCCCCGTAGGCCCGAGTGGGTTTGATCTTTCCAGAAAAAAACATGAAAATTATCGCATCAGGTGGACGGCCAGTTAGTAATAGATAGCTGAGGGTTTGGAACCACCGAGGCTGATCTTTCATACGTTGCCCGTCATCACAGTCTGCTACTATGTTTGGGGAGAATTCCGTACTATTTTCCTAGGTGACAGATATGCATGTATGGATGGACATGTACTCAGCTTGAGAAAGTTGTAAATATAGTGCCAATTCATGCGATAGCTCCCTCGGCTTGTCTACCTATAAGGAGTAGTTCTCTCGACTTTTTTCAAAGTTTCACGACGTGACCCGTCCGTAGTCGCTGACTAATTATGCCGTTTGCTAGTTAAGTTAGTTAACTAATTGAGTTATGCAATCAATCATTTTATCCCGTTATGCATCCCGACGGATTCCCACGACCTCCACCCAAACCAGTCAAATATTGAGCATTGTAGCGTTATCAAGCATCATCAATCAAGGTGCCTCGGCTGATCTAGTGATCCCGATTCTCGCTCGTCCATACACGGCCCGCTCGTCTAGGCCCTGTCCGCTGGTTTTCTCATACGTCCCGTTTCGCCCCGAGACGTGCCACCGGAATGACTGCAACGGCAGGCAGGTCCATCTCGGCGAAGCTACTCCGACTGGACAACCCAGTGGGCAGCTTAACTCTTGCCTTCTTGATTTGGAAAGCCCTGCTCTTCATTGTAGTGGCAGCTTGTCCGGGCCCTGGATATGACACCTCCACGACATTGATCCCGCGCGAGGGGGCAAGTCTAGTGAGTAGCCAGACGAAGTCTCTCCCCCAGTCAATGAAGTTTGTCCGGTGGGATTCAATCTACTTTCTGCATATCGCGGAGAAGGGGTATGTTTTTGAGCAAGAATGGGCTTTTAGTTATCCCCGAATTCTGAGCTTATTCGTTTCTGGTACGATGCCCGAATGGTTTGGTCTCGCATGTACACATTGGTCCGTAAGCTCACATCTCCCCTTATAGGCATTCGCTGGTCTGGAGGGATCGATGGAGCGGTTAACACGGCCTTGGTCGGCGTGATTCTATCCCATCTCGCCCACTATTACTCCGTGTTGGCGCTATACAGTCTGTCTGGTAACATCTTCGGGAGCGAAACGTCCTCCCAGAAGCTCATATGTTTCCTGTCGGCTGCCCTGCACATCATCTCACCCGCTGGTGCCTTCCTGTCAGCACCGTATGGAGAGCCAATCTTCTCTCTGCTGAATATCTTTGGATACTACCTTTACACATCATCTCTGATTGCAGAGCATAATGGCACTGTATTACTCCGAGACCTGCAAGTTCTGACGGCTGCGGTGCTCTTTGCTGTCGCAACGATAGTCCGCAGTAACGGCATTCTGAGCGGGTTTTTGTTCGCCTACGATGCTGCTATCTTGGTGTGGGCAATTCTGACGCAAGGTCTCAGTGTCCACAAAATTCGTCGCCTGGCTGTCATCATTGCGGGGGGTTGTATCGTGGGATCGAGTATGGTTGTGCCTCAGATCCTCGCTTATCGCGAATATTGCATGGGCGCAGGAGATCTGCGACCTTGGTGCAGCTGGACTGTACCTAGTATCTATAACTGGGTCCAGAGCTTCTACTGGTAAACAATATCCACCGTCTCCATGTTTGATCTCGGTCTTGTCCTAACATGTCACAGGAATGTGGGCTTCCTTCGGTATTGGACCGTTTCGAATATTCCTCTCTTCTTGCTAGCCGCACCCATGCTAGCAATCCTCTGCAAATCGGCACTTTGGGCACTTAAGGCACCGTCAACTCTACGCTCCGGGTCCGGCAACACATCCTCCTCCCAGGTGAGCCCCGGGTCCATGCTTTTTCGCCTAGCAGTGCCCCAGGGTGTCCTGGCAGTGATGGCCTTGACGAGCTATCACGTTCAAATTATCAACCGAATCTCTTCAGGCTACCCAGTATGGTATTGGTGGCTTGTATCTACGGCTATGGGTAGCTTCCAAGATCCCCAGAAGAGCCGCCGAGGACTCTCGATTGCTGCGCAAGCCATGGTAGCCTATGCATTAATCCAGGCGGTTCTTTTCGGTTCCTTTTTGCCTCCGGCGTGAGGGTACATGTGAGCAATCCCTGTGTGGTCAGGTTCAATACAAGTGAAATATAAAATACAGCGCTTTGTGGTTGATCATTTGCTCCGATCTGTGCTCGGCTGTGCCGATTGCGTAAGAGGTTGTCTGCCTAAGTTGGGCTTGGTAAGACGTTCTTGCGGTGGTTTGGCCCGGGGCAATCATTATAAATCAAAGAACATAGAATCATCGTGAGATGTCTGCCATACGTACTCTGCGCCCTTTTTCCCGAAGGGACTTGTCGGTAATCTAATAGTTCCAACGTGAGTTAAATTCTATAATTTTCGCGGGCTTTCAACGGGTCTCCAACCAAAGCGGCTACAATTCCACGGCGTTACGTGGAATTATGTCATCAACCTCGATTGAGAACCGAGCTTTGAACATGAAGCATTGAACATCATCTACTCTCAGAGCTTTCAGCCCCATTCCTTCGAATCCTGCCATCCCTTATTTGCGGTCGATTTTTTCTGGTGAAAAGCAGCGCCGATTACTGACCGGTGACTAACTACCTCCCCTCCAATTTCGCTTCGGTCCAGCCCACCCTCAAGCTCCTCCTCCGCCCGCCCCGACAGCCAAGAACCTCATGCGAACCCGGCCGTACTGCAACGCATCCTCCGGCCTCAAGATCCGTCCCCTCAGGAGTGGAATCACTCATTTTGTGGTATAAGTAAGGCTTTTTCCCATCTCGAAGCCATCGTTGAGAAGTGGATTTGAAGCTCGTGGAACCATAGCTGTCGGTTGCTGACGTATTGACTGCTTTAGAGCCCGATCTGACGTCCGTCCACGGGCAACTCCTCTCTCCTCTCCTCTCCACCGCGTGTCGCCCCCAACCTTCCCCTCTCGCTCGTCCTGCATCCGAGTATGGATGCTTCGGCCCCCAAAGCGATCCTCACATCCCATAATTTCTCCCATGCACAAGAGATCTCGCGTGCCACCTCCCCAGGTGGTGAACCTGTAGTCATGAATGGCGATAGCGAGCCGAAAGCTCGAGTTCGCCCGCGAACCTATCCATACTTCAAGTATCTACCATACGAGCTCGAAGATGAGACCGAGCGGGATCGGACTTTACGCGAAATCTTGAACCAGCTGTACATCTCGGTGGAGGCGGGCGACTTCAGCCCCGGAGCTGTGCACTGGACACGCGAGCTGCGAGGATGGCTGTCCCTCAAATTCGATCCGACCCGAAAGGAACGGATCAATCTAGTGAAGCTATATTTTGAGCTATCGCTAGCTCCGGGTATTGACCCTAGTGTATCGGAGCGGTTCGCTAGCATGTTCATGCTCCTCACCAAGTGAGCTTCAATCCGTGGTTCATAATCAGTTGCATGGCGAGGAGAAAGCTAACTTACTGGATACAGGCGGAAGCACTATCTCCGACCGGTGAAGGACCTTGTTCTTGACTGGAAACCACTCTATAAGGAGCTGAAGGCCTTTGTACTCCCGACCGAGTCCGGCCTGGTTCACTCGACGAATCTGAAACGGAACGTCAAGACGCTGACGAAAATGTGCGCCTTCTCTCAGCTATTCTTCGACCCCTGCGAACTGCCCGCGATGCTCGAAGAGTTCCTTCCTCACTATACTACCTCATTCTCCGAAGGCGCTTTCGTTGTGGCGGGATTGATCAACCTGCTGCTCCCGACTTCACCTCCACCTGCTGAAAGAGAAGACCTCTTACCACAAACTCATCTGCCGACTCAATTCCATCTATGGTCGCTGGTGGGTCGCTCCAAGACATTTGATACAACATATTTGGACTACTTGTCCAGACTGGCTCGCGATTCCCTTCCTGCGGGACATATTCCATTTTCTGAGCATGGTATATTCACAAAAGAGCAATCCTCTCTTATTTTCACAGCAATCTTGCGCTTGCTGGAGATCCCAGTAGGACAATCTACCTCGCCATATAGCGCGTTGGTGGACATTTCATCTGGACTGGGTATCATGCTTGATCGGGATACGCGCAAGCACCCCGTGGCTCATCATATTGCCCGGTGGATAGTGTTGTCTCTCTCTCCGGCTTGTCTAGAATCTGAGAACTCGATTCTCAGCCAGCTGGAGGGTCTGATTCAGGCCGTCGAAACCTTCTTCCATCCTTCAAACTCTGGTAGCTGGACAAAGACCCTCTCGCAATTAGTTTACTATTTGACTGATTTCTTCGTCATGCGTTGGAACCGTGAGCAAAGTGGTGAGATGGAGGTTCCAGCCGAGCGGCGACTCACCGAGCCTTTGAAGCGACGCTTCGTGTTGTGTCTGAGGGACGTAATCTTCATGGGTATATATGCCAAAAGCAGCACTGCGATGACATTCTCCTTGTCCACTCTGCAGGGTCTCGCTTACCTCGAGCCGCATCTTATTCTCCCCGGTGCATTGCAAAGAATCTATCCTGCTCTGCAAGGCTTGGTCGAAGTTCATCGGACGACCTCTTCTCTTCGGGCCATGCAAGTTCTTTCCCGTGTCATTACGCGGACAAGGGGCTATCGCTGCCACATGACCACACTCCTCGGTCTTGCTTTGCCCGGTATTGATGCCAACGATCTCGACAAATCTCTTCATGCCCTTTCTTTCATTCAGTCGGCCTGCTACAATATCCCCATGGTTGATATGACCCAGGGAAGAGACGATGTCAATTGCAATATGCTTGCACTGCAATGGATTACTGGAGAGATGGAACGTATGGAGGAGCAAGGAACCGACTTGCAATTGAACTATGATACGGAGCTGGATGATGAAACCGAGCAAATGATTCTGCGGTCATCAACTTGTGGTTTTGGCGATTTCACAATCTCGTTCCTTGGCCGTGTTTTCACTCTTCTCGAGAACCTGCCAGATGTAACGCGAGTCCGCAATGGGACTCCCGAGGAGAACATTGTGAACACGCTCCCAGCCACATTCATGCCTCTGCTGGCTTCACTCTCCCCAGAGTATTACGACATCGCACTCTCCAAGATCTTGGATTTTGTCTCCAATCATGTCATCCACCAAGCACGCGATGCGATGGCCTTCATTTGCAATGCGTTGTGCAAGGTCAATCCTGAGAAGGCTCTAAAGCGCTTCATCCCTGTTCTGACGCAAGCAATTCGCACGGAAATTGAGGAGAATGGTGCCGGCTCTACCAGAACCACAGGCACGGACGTTCTTCCTCGTGACCGTGGCTTGGTCTGGAATGTCAGTATGCTCAGTATGTGCGTGGTTCACGTCGGTGATGCCGTTCTCGCTCACCGACAAGAGCTGTTTGATATTGCAGTCTACATGCAGCAGAAGTGCCGAGGCATTCCGACCGTGCACATCTCAAACTTCATTCACCACCTCTTGCTCAACCTGACTGGCACCTACACCAGTGACTACTCTCTCTACGAAAAGGAAGACATTAAGGAAGGTATTCAGCCAACTCACTGGAACTACAAACCTGATGTCGATAACCTGAACATCAACTGGCACGTGCCTAAGCGAGAGGAGCTTGAATTTGCCGTTGAGGTCTTCAAGAATCAGGCCGAGTCCGCGCTGAAGCACCTCTCCGGGCTGACGAATGAGACGTCCAGCATTAAGCGGGACGGAAGCGGGAAGGATTGGTCAGATGAAGTCACCAGGAACCTTGTCTTACTCCGACTACTCTTATCTGGTATCTCCGTGCTTTTCAATCCCAAGGCTGCTTCGAACGCCTCGGCAGGCGCTCAGAACGAGGTCGAAATGGGGGACGACTCTTCGCTATCGACTGGTGTCGGGGAGGAGGATCCCGATGCCTCGCTTGATACTTCGGATGAATCGGCGATCAAAGAGAGCTTCTCTTATCCTACCGGATACCCCCTTGACGAAGGAGACATCTTGTATACGACGATTCACGAAATTCGCGAGCGTGCAGGATATGTTTTGCACGATGTACATCGATTCTTGACTGACAAGCAGGAAGACGACGTGCCTTGCTTTGGTGCTTTATATTCGGCCTACCGCTCCTGGTTCGTCGACGTTGGCATTGAACGGTCGGCACATGTTCTAGATCGGGTCACTCGGCTGTTGGCAGCTGACATTCACCCGTACAAGATGAGCGGAATTCGCAAAGACTACCCCAGAGCACTGCTCGTGCGCCGGGCGAACGTCTATCATCTGCAACGCTTGCGACACAATGCTGCCCCGCGACCTCGATCCAAACTCGATGAGCTTCTGCTCTTTGATCTTGCCGAGTCTTGCGTCTCTCTCTACACAGAAACTCGTAGGAATGCTCAGAATGCCGGTGAATCGGCTCTCAAGTCGGTTTGGGGTGCGCGAACTCTTATCATTCCCCCTCTCCTTAAGGCGCTGCAGAAGGGTGTCAAGGAGAATGATCACGCCCGTATCAAGGGAGCACTGTTCTCTTTGCTGCTGAGCAGTGTCGCAAAGACAGTCGGCCGAAACTGGAAATATACACCAGCGTTGATCCGCACTTTCATCGATGCCAGTGCCGTGGACAAGCCTTCCGTGCAAAAGATATGCTCCAGCGCTGTTTTCCAAATCATGGACTATGGCCGCGCCATGGAACGTATGGCCATTTTGGACCAGACAATTGTGGAGGCGATTGCTCCTGGCGAGGACGTCAATGGGCAGATTGAGCAAAAGCGCAAGGTCATCAATAACAAGCGTGCTTTGATTGAGAAGAAGAAGGCCGACCTGGCAGAAGAGCTGGTGAACCTAGCCCGAGTCTCTCACTGGAAGATTGCCAGTCGCGCCGCGACAATCGTCATCACGATGGGCCTTCGGTTCGACTACATTGCTAGTGAGAATTTGATCGAGCTCGTTACCCTAGGTTCCATTGATGATCACCCGGGTTTGAGAGGCATGTACTCGCAAGCACTCATCGCGCTCTTCACCATGATCGATGTCCGGGCTATCTGCACTCACGAGTACAAGAACTATATCCTGGGCCATCAGCGATTCCCATCAAAGATCAAGGTGGCTACTCGACCGGATGAGAAGGACTGGACTCAGGAATACTTGGCAAGCTTTGCCAAGCCCGATGCCGAATACTATGTCGATCACGACTTCCCCGGTTGGCTGGTATGGGGCAAGACGATGCCTGCGTACAAGTCCAACGTCGGGCGCGATATTGAATATGATGAAGTGGAGTGGAATGTGCGGGCGCAGATGGGCAAACTGTTCACTCGAGAGTGGTTCTCCAAGTTCTTCATGTATCTGAAGCAAGAACCGAGGGACCCTTCCGCTGATAAGTTCCGCATGTCTTGCGCCATGATGCTTCTCTACGCTTTCGAGCTCATGATTCGCGATGGTCTCACTGCTGCTTCGTTCAATGACATTCAGGAAGAGATCCAAGCTGTGTTTGAGGATGGCAGTGACAAGCACCAGCATCGTGCTACGGCCGAGATTCTAGGAGCCTTGATCAGCTCCGTGACAGACACCAGCGTGGAAAATCGAGCCCTCGTCTGGGAGTATTCCTTCCCCATCGTGCGTAAGATCTTCACGGACGGTCTTACCCCCGAGAACTCGGGTTACTGGACAACATTCCTCCACATGATCTTGCAATGTCGTGACCCCCGTCGCGCCTGGCCCTTGGTTGACTGGCTTGCCAGTTTTCGTCTAGACATGACCACGAATGCCGCCTTCAAGGAAAGCTCGAAGATCAATCTGCTTCATCAGTGCATCATTGATGCCGGATGGCACTTCCAGCTGGAGAAACCTATTGTTGAGAACTTCCTTGGTCATCTGGATCATCCTTACAAGGGAGTGCGTGAAGCAATGGGCCAAACTCTTGCGACCATCTACCGCACAAGATATCACGAGTCATACCCTGACCTCAAACACTTGTTGGAGGACCAGAAGGCCGCTTCCTCAGTCGGCACGTACCCTTATCTCCCCTCCGATGAGTTCTCCAAGATGCTCCGTGGCGTCTTCGACCAAATCGAGCAATGGCGGCAAGCCAGAACCCCTGGTCAACAGACCCCTTCGTCCTACACCTCTGGTAGTAAGACCGTGCTGCTCTGGCTGGACTCTACTCTGTCTTCCCACGATTGCACTCAGCTCGTACCCTTCTTCCCTCATGTCTTCACCGCACAACTCCTGCACATGATGGACGTTAAAGAAGACCCCGAGCTGCAATCTCTCGCCTACCATGTTTTCCGCCACCTCCCCAACATCCCTTACCCTGCAGAGAAGAACTCCGAATTTATCCAGTCTCTCATTCGCATCGGACAGACATCTCCCTCGTGGCATCAGCGTCTGCGTGTCATGATCAACATTCAGATCATCTACTTCCGCCGACTGTTCCTTTTGGACCCTGCAGATCGTGACAAGCTCTTCGAGTGCATTGCCTCTATGCTTGAAGACCCACAGCACGAAGTCCGCGCCGGTGCATCCGCTACCCTATCCGGTATGGTCCGCTGCTCACCCATCTTCCTGCGGGACAAGATGGTCAACAGATTCCAAGAGCGCTTCACAAGGCTTCTAGCAGAAAATCCGCTGCCCAAGAAGCCCAGGAACATCCGATCGGGCATTTCCTCTGCGGTTTCCTCTGGCGCAGGCACACCCACTCCCGAGCATAATCGACTGATCATCGTTCGCCACGGCGCCGTTCTGGGTCTGGGTGCTCTGATTCAGGCATTCCCGTATAATAGTCCTCCGCCTCGCTGGATGCCAGAAGCCTTGACAACGCTGAGTACCCGCGCCGCTAACGACCCCGGCGTTGTGGGCTCCAGCGTGAAGTCGATCATCAGCGAGTTCAAGAAGACCAGACAAGATACTTGGCACATCGATGCGAAGGTAAGTAGTCCGAAATTCCCATTCATTTCCTACAATGTGCTAAATCTCCGCAATCTAGGCCTTCACCCCAGATCAGTTGGAGGATCTATCGGGTGTCCTCTGGAAGAGCTACTTTGCCTAAAGTTCTCGAGCGGTTTCTACATTTGTCAATCATTTTTCAAGGTACTCTTTTTTCCTGTTTTGGGTATGGATTGGAACCTAATTGATGAGACTTGGAAACTGTATCACCTTCACTGAATACTAAATTCCCCCTCGAGTCCGAGCCATCTGAGCTTCGTTCCCATGGGCTTTTAACATGTCTTGTGTCTCTGTTCTTTGTTTGCACATCGTACATACCCGGGTTTACCAAAGAATTCATCGGCTTCTTTACTGCGTCTACTCGTTTAGTCCCTGTGTCGCCAGTCTTCTAAACTTGTAAATCAATTAAATTTGGAAATATAAATACTGTTAGAGCTCGCGTCCAGTCAGTCACAATAATTGAAAAGGCTGAAGACCAATATGATAGGAATTGAGCTCTGTCATGCCTAGGACCGATATGCGTAGCGCGGATAACATTGGGCCGTACGAAGCCCGTATCGGTACGGCTAACATTATTTGAAGCCTCATTCTACAGCATCACCAACCGCTGTAGATCTTCTCCCAGCTATACCCAAACTTTGTGGATACCGAACCGCCGAGTGTGAGGGCGGTAGGACGGTATATCGAATTATTTCTGCTGATTATACGTTTACGTCTTGGAGATGTCGACTAATACTTTATTTGCGTGACAGTCAACTGAGACGCACTACGAGCGCTATTGCTTCCTTTATATGTTTCTGCATACCGTCAAGAACACGGAGAGCAGATTTGGACCACGCACAGCGGTTCCATGAGATAAACTGTTGTTTGATGTAACGCTAAAACGGTTATGAAGTCAATGATGTCTAATAATGAAAGCAAATGACGGTTCAGCGGGCGTATTAGTGCTGGTTCGGGCCTAGCTTTTCTTGTCGATTCAGTTTTGTCTTCCTGTCTAGACGGTTCAATATAAGAAATTCTAAAAGGCTAAGACTTAGATTGAACGCCACATAGCTCTCCATGCCTCCTACCATGGCCTCTATCTTGGGGTCTCTGAACCTAGTCGACTCGACCAGTGATTATGGCTTGTATGTAGCGTGACAACGGACATGATCAACCGTCACAATATATTGTCATTACATAGCTTAGTATATTACCGGTACGTGCCACCTAGGGAAAAATAATCATCATCAATTAAAATTCGCCGTGTATGCGATACGCATAAGCTGAAAACGACCCAAGCGCATGACGTACAGCAAAGCTATGTACTAGAAAGCAGAAGGTGCCAACCAAACGAGGCATTGCTTCTAAAAGGTGACAAAGAAAGTAAGAAAGAATAACGACACCATTTCGAGAGCAAATTTCATTCATCGCTCATCATTTTTTTCATCCCCTCGCAAATTCGACTCCATACTCATAACATCATTACAAAGGTCTGGCGAGACGTCTATCCTCGATTATACTTCTCGTTGAACGCATTGACCGCTAGAAGAGAAAGGGCGTTAGTCAAATCAACCACATACAGAGATATGCCAGCACTTACCAATGGCAATTTGTCTATACAGCCAGTTCCTGGAGCTCTCATCCTGAACGGGGATGAAAGGTCCGTTCGCACCACCCTTGAGCGTGATGCTCATACCAGTGCGTTCTTTGGAGATGGTTTGGATGTCTGTGAGACGTATATCCCACTCTGTGTAGAGCTTCTTGGTGCGCACGAGCATGATACGTGCATATGTCAACAAGACGAGCATGTCCCTTCCAGGTAGCTCCAAGTGAGCAATGTATTCCTCGTTGAAATACTTGCCGTCGTCAGTAGTCTTAAGCCAGAATTGGCCGAGGGCTTCTCGCTGCGAGTATGGGCGGACAATGCCGTCAGTGCCGATGAAACGGGTCAATCGGACGCGATCCAGACCATCGGCGTCGAAGACGGTGGTGGTATTACGGACACCCTCTGCGAGGTTGGACGCAAGATCAAAAGCGCCAATTGCGGGTTTGGTTGCCAGTCCCAAAACACCCTTTCCAACACCCTTGAAGAATCCTGCCACACCTTCCTTCTCTGCACCTTGCAAGGGATGGCGAGCCAGGCCTCCTATTCCACTGGCCAAGCTTGTCGCAAATGCATTACCACCAGCTGTAATCCCATAGAGGGCATGCTTTGGGCGGTTACGCGACTTTGACATCCGGCGCTGGTCCTGGAACTCTTTGTCCATAGTGGCGGCAGCAAGTCCCTTGGACATACTTCCAGTAAACTTTGCCATGCTGTCTGAGAATCCAAACACAGATTTCTTGACGAAGCTAGTGGCGCCTTTCGCAATACCATAGCCCAGCTCTTGAGGACGGTCAGTCAAGACCATGCCTTGATAAGGCTCGTAGAAGATATCCGCAAAGCCAGAGCTGATATTGTTGAACAGACCGACAGGGTTACCAATGATATCAGCGGAACCAAGAATGATATGGACTTGTCGCAGGAACTCTTGAGTGTAGTGAGCTCGAATATTGTTGACGAGTCTTCCCATGGAGACACGAGCATTCTCCAGCATCAAAGCGTTCAACCGGATGGGCGCATCATTGACATTGCCCATTGACATTGTCATGACGTTAACAACAAACATCAAAGGATTAGACGACTGCATAGTGTCTTCCACGTTGATTCGCTCAGTTCGCATAAAGGAAATATCCAGCTGCATGGGTTGCAAATGAAGAAGCTCGAAGTAGACATCCTGGCCGGCTTCGCTCTGCTGTGGCTCTGGGATGTTGAAGTCTTCATCGCACAACTGACCCTCTTGAGGTTCGGACCACGAAGCACCGGGCACCTTGGCGAAATCCAGCAGAGCAAAGATAAAGTCCTCATCCAGCTCAAGTGTCATTTGCTGAAGAAGCAGGGTTGCATACTTGATGTAAAGAACACCGTAAGAGTCATCCTTGACACGAGTAACCATGGCATGGAAAATCGGATGCGCCTCCATCTCCTTTCCAGTCTTAGGAACGACACTAGGATACAGAAGCATTGGGAAAATGCCACCGTACAGCTGATTGTCGATCTGGATCCACTTGATGGAGGTATTGAGAGTCTGGTAGACCCTTGACTCCCGAAACTTGATCTCAATCTCACGGAAAGTCATATAAAGTAGTTCCTTCAAGTTCTGATTGATCAAAGAGATACCAATGCCACCAAGACGAAGCTGGGCCTTGAAGTTTACGTCGGAGTTCATTTCCTTCACTTCAAAGCCAGCAGTCATGCTGCTCTGAGACGATTGACCCTTCTGCTGTTTGTAGATACTCTTCGAGGCCTTGAAGTTGGACAAGACGAGAGTCTGAGTAGGACCATCGGCAACAATATTGATATCGATGATTTTCTGGTACTCGCCGGGCCTCGCAGCAGGAATGCGCATGGGAATCAAGTTACCGATCTCGGCTATCTTGATATGCCGCGTCTTTCCTTGGCACGTCAGAACAAGAGACTTATTCCTGGTGGCTGGATGATCCCATGCGTAAGGCATGATACTTCGCGGCGGTAGACGATAGCGAATGGGTCGCCAACCACTTGAGCGATCATCTTCATCATCTTCCACATTGGGATTGGCTTGGTAGAAGATGAACTCCATGTCACTCTCGTTGCGCATTGAGTACGGCCAGTTGCGACTTTCGAAGCTGAAGTGCAGGAAAATCGTGGCATTTTCAAGGATAATGTCGACCTTGATCAACTTCTGGCGCTGATTCGCCTTTGCCAGTTTGACGTGGACAGTGCCGACGTCTGCAATGTTGAAAGGAGAAGACCACTGGTTGTTCACACCAGGGAAGCAAAGACACAACTGCTTGTCTGTCACTTGACGAAGGAATTGTAGCGGTACCAGTTCCCCGCTGCTGATCTGAAGGACATTGGGTGAGCCAGGCTCGCGGACCAACAAATCCTCATTGAGCTTGCTCTTCAAAATGAATCTCGGAGCAATCGTGACCACCTTGGTCATTTTATACTTGCCCTCACCCTCGGCAACGGACACGCCAGAGTGGAACTCAGATCGGCCCTCTCGATCGGGGAAAACGACCTCAAAGGTGCTACCGATGGCCTCGAAACTCTGCGGCTTGCTCCACGAGGAATCTCCAACCTTCAAGATAGACCGATTCTTCGTGTCTTCGCTGTTATAGGAGTACATGTAGGGCAGAGCGCGGCCGCCGTCTCTCGGATCAACTCTGAGTCCTTGACCAGCGGCAGTGCGAGCAGACTGAAGGAAGGCCTTGCTTTGGATATCCATGGGCAATCCGGTCTTGTTCAGGATAAGGTAAGGACTGTACACAGAAACCTTGAAAGCACCACCACTGTCGGGGATGTTGAAGTAATGAAGCTTCAATTTCAACTGGAGGCCTCGGTCATCCTTGAGGGATAGGGTGTGCTCTCTCCGGTAATCCTGGGCATTACCATTAATGATGGCAAACTCACTCTGCCGGAAAACGGTATCCTCTAGATCAATGCTGAGCAGGAGTAAGTGAGACAGCTCCACAACGTGGACAGGGCTAACGCCTCCCTTTCTAAGGAAGTTCGTCCAGTCCTTCTTAGTGTTCTTGTCATATATGCGGTATTTGAAGTCAAAAGGCAGGAGATTCTGGATCTCCACGGGAGCGAAGATTCGAATCCGCATGTACGGGTACGAATTGGTCAGCGAGTCCTTGTTGTCGAAGGTGGCATTGACCTGGAAATAGAATGGAGGAGATTGTTGGCCACCTTCGCTGACACATTTGATGGTTCGCGTAGGTCTCTTCATAAGATCTTTCCAGAATAGCCGCTCGTTAGACCAGTCGTAACCGAACCCTTGATCAGGTCTAATGACAACTGAGTGCAGATAAGCAGATCCAACCGGCGCAGGTCGAGCATCCCCGGGCAAAATCTTCTCGATTTTCAAGAGGTGGCCGTCGTCCGGGCTAAACACACCCAACTCAACGGGAATCTGGGTGTTGTTCTCCACGAGCATAGGCGAGCGGAAAGTGATGTACTTGACATTGTCCGCACCAAGCTTGACCTCCACAAGAAGTCGATGCAGCACATTATCGCGCTTCGGTTTGAGACTG